TCAGAGTAATTATCTCGCTGTCTTGGGATGCCAGGCTGTGTAACTTCCTGGCATTTCCTGCCACTGAATCTCCAGAATCTGGGCAATCATCAAAGTTGTAAGGTCGACCAAGACCTGGAGGAGAAAAAAAAAATACAAGTGAGTTAAATTAGTAGTGGTAGTTAAGTATCAAGTAGCAAGACGGAGTCCTGGATGCTGTCGTAATGTACCGAGTTGGCATTCCTAGCATCAATACCATCCTGATGTGGTCACAAATCTGATGAGCAGGTAACCTCGTCTGCTTGCTAGACCATCAGCTTCCAAAAATAATCTTTTATGGTGAGATACAAGAAGGTAGACGCCCTCACTGTGATCAGGAAAAAATGCTTCAATACACGCTAAAGTGATCACTTAAAGCCTTCAATATAAACCTTTACACTTAGGAGGTTGCAGTGCAAGACCGGACAATATGGCCAAAATCTATCCGAAGAGGGGCAGTGGCATGCGAGGCATTTAGAAAAGGGTGGCTGAACATCAGGGGCAGGCCACGAAGACCTGTATAACAGACCCTTTACCTTACATACACTGTTCTCTGCCCCATTGCCTTACATCCCTCCGGGCCCGTATTGGGCACTGGGCTTATAAGTCACTTCCGGACTCACAGAAAAGTCAACTTTAGTTTCATCACGGATGAAAGAAAGAGTGGTCTTAATTTATGATTGGACGAACAATAGCAGCTACAGCAGTAACAGTAGCAGTCGCAGAAGTAGTCACTGCAGCAACTGTAACATTATTAACATCAGTAGTAGCAACAGAAGTAGTAACATTATTAACATCAGTAGTAGCATTATAAAAACAGCAGTAGTAGCAACAGCAGAAGAAGCAGCAGCAGAAGAAATAGTCACGGCAACAGCAGTAGCAACAGTAGTAGTAGCAGTAGCTAAAGAAGTAGTCACTGCAGCAGTAGTAGCATTATAAACAGCAGTAGTAGCAACAGAAACATCAGTATTAGTCAATGAATAAGGAGATGATACTGACCAGGCAAAAACTCCCCATCTGCATTTGTTGACTTGTTGACATCCTCAGTAGATCTGGCACCTGCAAACAAATACATTTCATTAAGGCACAGGCGAAATTATGTGAAGAAATAACATCAGAGATACATTACAGTAACAACTATAAAGAAGTTCAGAGGAATATCTATTAAGAAGTGACATCAGAGACATAAGATGAGAGAAATAACTATAAAGAAATAACACGAGAGAAATAACTATAAAGAAATAACTGAGAGAAATAACGTCAGAGAAACAACAGTAGAGAAAATAAATCAAGTTACAGGCACATTATATAAGTCCCTAGCTGACTGGCTGGAGAGGGGAGAGGAGAGAGAAAGATGGGAGAGAGAGATGGGAGGTGGGAGAGAGAGAGGAGGAGGCGAGAGAGAGAGAGAGAGAGAGAGAGAGAGAGAGAGAGAGAGGAGAGAGAGAGAGAGAGAGAGATGAGAGAGAGAGAGAGAGAGAGAGAGAGAGAGAGAGAGAGAGAGAGAGAGAGAGAGAGAGAGAGAGAGAGAGAGAGAGAGAGAGAGAGAGAGAGAGAGAGAGAGAGAGAGAGAGAGAGAGAGAGAGAGAGAGAGAGAGAGAGAGAGAGAGAGAGAGAGAGAGAGAGAGAGAGAGAGAGAGAGAGAGAGAGAGAGAGAGAGAGAGAGAGAGAGAGAGAGAGAGAGAGATAGAGAGAGAGAGAGAGAGAGAGAGAGAGAGAGAGAGAGAGAGAGAGAGAGAGAGAGAGAGAGAGAGAGAGAGAGAGAGGAGAGAGAGAGAGAGAGAGAGAGAGAGAGAGAGAGAGAGAGGAGAGAGAGAGAGAGAGAGAGAGAGAGAGAGAGAGAGAGAGAGAGAGAGAGAGAGAGAGAGAGAGAGAGAGAGAGAGAGAGAGAGAGGTGGTTTGGTGGAAACTGGAGTGAGTGAAACAAGGCTGCATTCTATCTCCCTTGTTTGTTGTTTGGCGTAGCCATTTTCACAAATTCGACACTCCCCATGTCCACAAGGTGCTGGATGTATTAATGTCAACCTGAATAGCTTCTTCTTCTTCTTCTTCTTCTTCTTCTTCTTCTGCATTCATTTGATGATGTAACTTTGTTGTGTCAGTTTACAGCATGGCTGCAATATTTGCACCTTTCGGCCGACACATCCAGCTTCTGCAGGCATTTGCTGACCAGGTTAGCTTTCTTAGAGTCTGAATATTAAAACGCATCTATCTGACCAGACATAAAGTGAAGCAAACAATTTGGTTCAACTTCAATATCTTCTACAATCTAAAACTGTGCAAGTCTAACTAGAGTGGAATAAAAATAACAGGATAGGGATGTAAATTTTATGACAAATGGAATACAAATCTATTGTCAAATAAAGATATTTAAAATATTAAAGACAACGAAACATTCGTTTAAAAAAACAACTCAGTAGGTAAAGACATATATGTATCTACATATGCCCACTCAACTACATGTCTCTTTACCTTCCACCTCTCTTTCATCCACATTCTTCTCACAGTCGATGCTGCGTGGCGCTGGTAGTCATGTCTGTCCCCAACCTTCTGTCTCGTGTACTTACAATCAATCAAGTATTAGGCAGATGATCTTCCATGCCATGATGTCAACTCTGTCCAGCACCTTCTCTCTTGGTCTCCCTCTGCCTCTTTTCCCCTCCAGCTTTCCCACTATCACAATGTGCTTCAGTTTTCTCTTTCTCATGACATGACCATCTTTTCTTTCTGTCTCCCTCTGCCTTTTTTCCCCTCCAACTTTCCCACTATCACAATGTGCTTCAGTTTTCTCTTTCTCATGACATGACCATCTTTTCTTTCTGTCTCCCTCTGCCTTTTTTCCCCTCCAACTTTCCCACTATCACAATGTGCTTCAGTTTTCTCTTTCTCATGACATGACCAAACAATGTAGATTGTCTCCTTCTGATGCAGACAATCAGTTCTCTTTGTCAGTCAGTTTCTTCATTACTCTTTTTACCTGTCAAGGGTATTCTCATCATTCATCTAGAAAAACAACATCTCTGCTGCTCATAGGAATATTTATAAGATAAAAAGTCTGCTCTGGAACACTTATGTAATAAACAGTCTGCTCTGAAACACACGTGATAAATAGTCGACCATATACTCTAAAACCTGTATACAGCAAGATACAGCTTTACACAGACCTCATTTACATTGCTATCATCATGTGATACAACTAACCACAATACAAACTACCACTAAGAAGCTCGACAGGAAAAAAAGTCTTTATCAACATACTATTGAAAAAAATGTACATGACTAATAAGGAATTGAAAAAAAAAAGATATACAAAATATGGACAGGAAAAGCTATTATGAAACAAAATTTATGAGGAGGAAGGAGAAGGAAGGGAAAAAAAGGTAAAAATACATTAGGTGTTTACTTCTATCATATATCACAGTCTATCTAATCCCAATCAAGAGCTTTCGGGTCAGCTATTTGAGTTATAAGTTCAGAATCGACATCATAGCTTTTGGGACATTTCAACAAGCACTCCATCCTCATCTTCAAGTGCAGAGTTCTGGTTTCGATGATACCAGTAAGTGTCTGATTGTAACAGTCTGACTATATATCTGCCTCAGAGTGTTTACCTGAATGTTGAATTAAGAAGCAACATCATAGAGACTCCCATAAGCACTCCGTCCTCATCTTCAGCAGCATGCGAAGAGTTCCAATTCCGGTGGCACCAGTAAATGTCTGTATCCCCCCCCCCCCCCCCCCCCCCCCCTCCCGAGTGTTCAGCATCAGCCAGATCCCTGGTAACTCCTCACAGTGGCATTCTCCTTAGACCGTAATGATCTATTTGTGCCTCCCCACTTTTCACTAGCTCCCAAAGGGCCCTAACCATATCTAGCTTCTTTTACATCAATTCCCCACTAAGTGGTGCAGAGTAGTCTCGCGTTGTTTACCTGCTCCCAAAGAGCCCTTACAACATCTAGCTTGTCATGTATCAATTTGCCACTTTTTGGTGCAAAACCTGCTAATCTAAGTGCTTGTTTATTTCCCAACAAACCGGCATATCCTGCAGAAAATATTCAAGGGACACCAACTACTTGAGACCTCTGAAGTGATGCTTGCCACTCTGCATGCAGCATATCTGTCTCCACCTTTCTGCACATTATCTGTGAGTCAGTTACACGACATGTGTATGCAGTTGGTTTGTAGATTAATCTATCCAATCAAAATCAGGAACATTCTAGGTCACAGAACAATCTAATCAAAATGAGGAACATTCTGGGTCACAGAACAATCTAATAAATCAGGAACATTCTGGGTCACAGAACAATCTAATCAAAATCAGAACATTCTAGGTCACAGACCAATCTAATCAAAATCAGGAACATTTTGGGTCACAGAACAATCTAATCAAAATCAGGAACATTCTGGGTCACAGAACAATCTAATCAAAATCAGAAACATTCTGGGTCACAGACCAATCTAATCAAAATCAGGAACATTTTGGGTCACAGACCAATCTAATCAAAATCAGGAACATTTTGGGTCACAGAACAATCTAATCAAAATCAGGAACATTATGGGTCACAGACAAATCCAATCAAAATCAGGAACATTTTGGGTCCCAGACCAATCTAATCAAAATCAGGAACATTTTGGGTCACAGAACAATCTAATCAAAATCAGGAACATTATGGATCACAGACCAATCTAATCAAAATCAGGAATATTTTGGGTCACAGAACAATCTAATCAAAATAAGGAACATTCTGGATCACAGATAAATCTAATCAAAATCAGGAACATTCTGGGTCACAGGCCAATCTAATCAAAATCAGGAATATTATGGGTCACAGAACAATCTAATCAAAATCAGGAACATTCTGGATCACAGACCAATCTAATCAAAATCAAGAACATTCTTTGTCCCCTAACGACCATGCCAGGATTTTTAATAAAAAAGCATTCCATAAAACATACAAGCCACATGCCAAGAAAGCATGCACAAGCTACCTCTGAGCTGAATTTGCTCAATGTCAACAAAAGCAAAGTCAAGCACAGTGTAAGATTTGGCCAAGGTTTTGGTCCTTCTGGTAACTTCTGGAGATTCGGGAGGGATGGCCCCTGTACAACTACAGCAGTTCTCTGTGGGTTTATCTGTAGGAGCAGCATGTGATCACACACATTGGGGTTTCTATATTACATGTGTCTACATGTGGCTGTGTTTGTAAGAATAAAAAGCAAAAGTAAGTAAGGGACCGGAAGCTGCCATGGCGCAGGGGCTAGATGTTCCTCTGCAGATCCAAGAGTCATGGGTTGAAATCCGAATGGACCTGTGGCTTCCAGCCTTAAATGGGTACCAGGTGAAGTCCTGGGAAGTAAAGACGGTTGGCATGATGTTGGCCACATCACCCACCGAGTGCTGATTGGTCTTTAAAATATAGTTCTAGCCCTATATGCCCAATAAGCCTGGAGGCGTAGAAAAATCCTCTAGTTTACGTTAAAGGTCACTTTACATGCCAGTTGTGCATTAGGCATATGAGGATAGACTCATATTTGTATAGACCGATCGCCCTTCAACCCCCAACCTGGAAGACCATCGATCACTGGCATTATGAAAGCTAATAGACCGAAATGGCTGGGGCATTCTGGGAGAATGTCAGATGACAGAGTGGTAAAAACTGTGTACACAAGAGAGCTGAATGGTCATAGACCACGAGGCTGACCAAGAAGATGATGTGGAGATAATGTCCAGACAGACCTACAAACGCTTGGTGTCACAAACTGGAGGGGGAAAGCCAACCAGAGAGATGAATGGAGGTGGGTGATATCCACAGCAATGAACCTCAAGGGCTTGGAAAGAGAAAGATGAAGAAGAATCTGATCTCAATGCGTGGTGTGGTCAACGTCACGCTGGCCACCATTACTTCCCAGAACACTGTGTGGTATCCATTTAAAGCTGGGTTGAGCTGGGAGCAAAAGACCTGATCAAGCAAAAAGCACATAGCAATAAGAGAGTTAATATACTGGCTTGATCAAGCAGAGGACACATAGCAATAAGAAGAGTTAATATACTGGCCTGATCAAGCAGAGGGCATGTAGCAATAAGAGAGTTAATGTAGTGGCCTGATCAAGCAGAGGACACATAGCAATAAGAGAGTTAATATACTGGCTTGATCAAGCAGAGGACACATAGCAATAAGAGAGTTAATATACTGGCCTAATCAAGCAGAGGGCATGTAGCAATAAGAGAGTTAATGTAGTGGCCTGATCAAGGCCATAGCATAAGAGAGTTAATATACTGGCCTGATCAAGCAGAGGACACATAGCAATAAGAGAGTTAATTTACTGGTCTGATCAAGCAGAGGGCACACAGCAATAAAAGAGTTAACATACAGTGAAAGCCCCAGTTTACATGGCTACCAATCGTTAGGAAGGAACAAAACAACAGGTAATGCATTTCATCCGTATACTATCAAAGATAATAACTCACAAATATATAGATCAACTTACCAGTGGTATGCTGTCTGTCGATTGTCTGATCTGGAGAACCAAATCCCTGAGAGGAGCTGTCTGTCACATCCGACAGGTTATTTCTGCTTTTGCTGCGCTTTGGTGCCTACATTATATAAGAGACATTCAATCAGTTGTGTGTTTCTGGTGATTGTAGACGGTCTATGTTTAATGACTGTGGACTTTCTAAAACTGAATGAGTTGCTCACCCTATTTAAATCTGTGTATTATGTCACGTTCCAAGTGCCATGTAACCATTTTTTAGAATATGATTGCTGTATACGGGTGTTTTAGTTATTGATGTTAGCTATAATAGTGTTTGCCAGTCTATTGCCAGTGAAACTACTAAAGAGAGCATATTTTTGGTTGGTTGAGCATGTGTTCCTTAACAGTGCCAGATATTTGAATGTGGTTGTTCAACAATTTATGATGTTCTTTTCTGACACTCAAGTGCGTCGTCCTAATACTCTTAGCAATTTAACCAGTAGAATCGATTATGAACAGAGCTGTAATGTAGAAAACAGTACCCAAAAAAAGACACACTACAGGAATAAATGTTGCAGTAACTCCACAGACGGCGATTACAAAAATAGGTATGGGAATATTTCCTTTAAAAAAAAAATAGTAATTAAAACTACATCCTGTATTTTGTGAGAGTGAGAAAAGTTGAATGATGCTACAATTATAATACATGTTGGCAAACTGAACAACACATATTTCAATTGTGAATGTCAGTCATTTTCTCTGTGAAACGAGGGGGGCTAATCATCATTATCATCATCATGAACCACTTCTGCCGTTAAGCGGCGTGGGGAGGAATAGTTTGGGATCCAGTGCATGTTGGCTGCCACTGGCTATTGTCATGCCGTGAAGGCACAGAGTGCCTTTAATGTTGTCGATTCATGTTTTCCGCGGCCGTCCTCTTGCTCTTGTAGTTGATCTTCTGAGATGTAGTGCTTGTGATGGTATTTGATCTTGCTGCATTCTAACGAGATGGCCAAACCACTTGATCTGCTGTTTCTCGATGAATCTAATACAAGGTGTTCCCACAATTTGCCTGATAGTTTCATTATTCACTCGATCTCGGATGGTTAGGTTGGCTGCTTTTCTCAGGCACCTCATCTCGCAGGTGGTAATTTTGCGTATATGGGCTTTAGATAGTGTCCATGTTTGGCACTGGTAGCTTAATGTTGGAATAAATATGCTATTATTAATCTGTCTCTTTGCACTCATAGTTATGCTTGGATGTCTTAATAATGGTGACAATTAGTATATAAGTGCACTTGCTTTCTGACATCTGGTTTCTATTTCTCTGTCAATTCTACCATCTTCTGTGATCATACTTCCTAGATATTTAAACTCTCTAACTTGATTCAGGGCAGAACCATTCAGCTGTATGTGTAGTGGGGCAGAATGTCTACTAACTTGCATTGTTTCGGTTTTGTTTACATTGATCTTCATGTTGTACATGCTGAGTTTAACCTGTTAATGTGCTCTTGTAGTCTATGTTCTTCAGGGTAGAACAAGCACTGGTCGTCAGCAAACAGTAGTTCGTTTAATGTGGGTGAATCGATTACTTCTCCTGATGTATGTACTTCCTCGTGATTATAAAGGTTTACTCCCTCATTTTAGGTAAACATAAGAGTGTCATTTTCTCTGTGAAATGAGGGGAACCAACATTTTAGGTAAACATAAGAGTGTCATTTTCTCTGTGAAATGAGGGGAACCAACATTTTAGGTAAACATAAGAGTGTCACTTTCTCTGTAAAATAAGGGAGATGAACATTTTAGGTAAACATAACAGTGTCACTTTCTCTGTGAAATGAGGGAGACCCAAATTTTAAGTAAACATAACAATGTCAATTTCTGTGTGAAATGCGAGGAATCAATATAAAAGGAAAATATGACAGCCATCACTCTCTGGGCGTTGCGAAAGACTTACCCTTGACATGATTCCACGTGCTTTCCTTGCAATAAGAGCTCCGAAACCTTTCCTGAAACATGCAGTAGATCTTTCCTTATGAACAGTTCCAGTTTACATTTTTAAATAATACAAATATGTTTAAAAACCTTGTTAACACAAACTAGCTTAAGAAAACACTTGGATAACATCAACACAATGTTTGTCCTAAGCAGGGATGTATGATTCATAACAGGTCTATTAGCCTCCAGAATGACTTCTGGTCAATATGGAGGATGGGCAGGTTCACTGTTTTTAGCTGCGGCAAGTTTTTGCTTCCAAAAATAATTGGTTATTGTAATCCCCTCCATATGTAGCCTGAAAGGATATAGTTTTGTTGCCCAGCTGCAGATTTGAGTGCATGGTGCGACACTGTGAAGCTGCAGATTTAATTTAGAATATTTTTTTTACTGTGACAACTTGATTTTGGTGTGAAATGTAGACTGAAAAAATTGCGAGTGGCCTGTTGCCATAGAACTGACGAGGAACTGCATTTCTAGTGTCTGACTGTTTGTGTAAGCACTTCTGATGGCTGCCTTATGCATTTAAAGCATGTGTTTGCTATTAGTTATGCAGTATGTGTAAATCTTTCCAGAAGGGAATAGTGATGGGCTTTAAGCGTTTGTCATTGGCACAGGAATGGAGCAACTATGGGCCATTAGCTATGAAGTTAAAACTGCAATTACTTCATCAGCCCCCAGACAGCACACACTTTTTAAACACAAAATTTGATGTTTTGGTCTCTTGGAATCTGCGTTAACGAGGTTTTACTGTTCTGCTTTTCGTATGGTTTGGTATCTGACCTAGATACGATCAAACCTGGTGCAGTAAAGCTAATGCTGTCACCTCACTGTAACATTTCATAGAGACTCACTCATAGATTAGTCTTCTCCTCTGAGTCCACACCATGTGCTGTTGGTTGCCATGTCAGTCCACATGATAGCAACTGAGAAATATGCCTGAATGAAGTAAACATGGGGTTGATTATAAACACGTTTTAGGGGGACAAACACAGAAGTGATCTTCTGATCCCGAAGCTTCTGCTGCAGGCTTTGTTCCAAACATATGGTGTTACTTTTCCTTTGGAGTAAACAAAGCAGGCAGACAGGGTGATCATGATGCATAGGCAACAGGTGGTCTCCATGATACTGCGCGGGTTTTGTGCTACCGAAAGGAGCAGTTCATCAGTTAATTAGTATCACCACCCACTGCGATTCCCATGCTCCCTCATAGTATAATCGGTCATGAAATCCGCAGCTCAAAACATCCCCCTCATGTTCTCAACTCAGTAGCTAGGTGACGGAACTACATCCTTCCAGTCTACACAGGGTTGAAAATGCAACAGCCAACTACTGTCAGAAGCAAAAACTTACCATAATCCATTAGCTACTGTCGCTCCTCTGGGCGGTGAGTTACTATATGATAAAGTGGACATGGTGAAGAATGTCAGGGATCAAGTGGAAAGTACAACAGAATCGTACACTGAAAGACTAATTCAACAGGAGTGAGTAGAAGTTCCAGAAGATAATTCAACACTGGGGGGAACACAGGTGGACTTTTAATCAGGTTGCAGCTGGTTTTTTAGCACATCCCCTTTTTCGTTGGCTATTAAAGAAGGAGACGGAGCACATGTAAGAATGTTCTAAGTGCAGTGATGTGAATTTTTGATTCATTTACTCATTCAACGGTGAGATTTTTTTACGTGGACTTTTAGTAATTTCCCCTGGTCTCTGGGTAGTGAGATGAGACGCCTGTGTGTATTGTTGCGTACACACACAAAATCCCTTGGCAGTTGGAAATCGAAAAGAGTAGCCTAATGGCGCTGCCCGGGCAAACTTTAGAGTTTGAAAACTTCCCAAAGTATTTCAGGATCCTCGCCGGTGCTATGGAGTTCGTGCACTATGCTGAGAATCTTTGGACTCGAGCTTGAGTTAAAAGTAGAATGGAGCACTTATGGGTGACTACCCTGGCCCCATGATGTTGATTCGTTGTATAAACTAAACTCATTCTGTATAATGGACATATAAGTCATCCCCTTATGGGATGCATTTTTTTTTGTGTGTTATTGTGAAGCCCCACCCAGGCTTCTGCCGGGGGCCCTGAATATAGCAGGGGCATAGATATGGCCTAGCCATAGATATGGCCTCACGGCTGAAAGGGGTTTGTGGGACCTTTCCACAGGGTGATCCTCATCTGCGTGGTGGCACTTTGTGTCACCAGGTGTTTATCACTTGTGTGATGTCCTGGTGGGGTACAATTACCTAATTACCTACCTACCTATAATGGATCACTATGTGCTCTGTGTGACTGATTAATGGCACAATAGAAGTAATCACAGTTCAAACTTCATAGCAAATGGGTCTCCCCACAGCTTCTCCATCCTGTGCTAATGACAACTACACAGAATGTCCATCACAGACTTGGTGCTTTATTAATATCCGACCCCAAGCAGGGGAAATCCACAGGTCATGGGACAGTCTAATATTTCAGGGGGTGATAGATAGGCTGCATGCAGTCGTGGGACCTAGACTGCATGCAGTCATGGGACCTAGGCTGCCCTCTCTCGTGGGACGTAGGTGGGTTGGGGTTAGGGACAGTTCTAGATGTTTTGGGGTTGTTAAAAGCATAAGAAAGCCAGGAAACCCAGTCTCACCACCCCCTAAAAAGTTGGACTGTCCTGTGGCGTCATCTGGGGTAGGATATTAATAAAGAACCACAGACTTCTGTTTAAAAAAACCCAGTGACTCAGACTGCAGTCTCAGCTAATCCAACAGCATAAAACAGTTTACCTTCAGGTGTATAGGGCATATAGGGCTAGACCTATATTTTTATAGATCAATCGGCACAAGATGGGTGATGTGATGAGCATCACGCCGGCCACCCTTACTTCCCAGGACTGCAACTGGTACCCACTCAAGGCTGGGTCTACCTGGGAGCCAAGGTAATTTTTGAAAAAAGTTGGGCTCTGCCAGGCAACGAACCCACGACCTTCCGATCTGCAGGCGAGCCTCTAGCCGCTATGCCAGGGTGACTCCTATCCAACAGCATACATGCATATTAAATGCATAAGACAGCCGTCAGAAGTGCCAACAGTCAGACACCAGAATTGCAGTGCATCATCGATGCAAGCAGCAGTTACAATGGCACAACAGAAAAACGGTGGCAATAATATATAAACTATATGGTATAAGAAAACGGTAAAACTGCCGTGTGTGAACTTACTTTTTGGGTGAGATTCTGTTTTTGTAGTGTTCCATGATCTTCTCCTCCAAGCGTTCTTTCTGTCGTCTCAGTTCTGACAGCTTTTCCCTGGGAGACAGACAACAAGAAAGAATTCTCTACAAGGTCTAGGAACTGTAATTTGATGCAGCACCTGTCATGTGGCACTAAGTTTGGCATCTAAATAACACAATGAATATCATCTAGATAACATAATGACTCACATCTAAATAACATGATTATCATCTAAATAACATTAATGACTATCATCTAAAAAAAACATAATGACTATCATTTAAGTAAGAAAATGATTATCATCTAAATAACATAACGACTATTATACAAGCAATATAATGACTATCATATAAATGACATTATCACTATCTTCTAAATAACATAATGATTATCATCCAAATAACGTATGACTATCATCTAAATAACATAATGGCTATCACCTACATAATATTAATTACTTTCATCTAAATAACATAATGATTATCTCATTTTATAAGATCCCAAAACAGCTGCAGATGCACTGTGACCTGGGAGACAAAATCCCTATCTTAAGACATGCTTGATAGAGAGGCAGTGGGTCTATCCCTCCCCCCCCCCCCCCCCCCCCAACCTCATCAGGGCCCCGGAATCCATATGAGGACTTTGGTATAACAAAAATGACAACAACAAAGATAAAGCTATCAACAACAAGCAGACAGCAACTCACAAGTAGGCTTTCTCCTCCTCTGCAAAGTGGTCCTTGCTGTTGAGTGCCTTCATCAGCAACTCATGGTTCTGATTCAACAACTGTTTGATCTGCATCAGCAAGGCTTGGTTCTCGTTATCAATCCTCTCATTTATCTGGTACACAGCCTGGGTGAACAATGAGAAGGCAGATAAATATAACAGAGATGGGTCATACTCCATAGAGTTTTCACGGCTTTTTAGGACTATACCATTGTTTATTGAAAAGATCATCATCATCATCGCACATGACCACCTTCTTCTTCTTCTTCTTCGCGTTCACCAGCTGTAAACTCTGGCGGAATGTTCTGGTTGTTTGTCCACTTCTGGACTGCAGTCCTGTTCCAGAACCTGAGTGTTGCATGTGCATCCGTTTTACAGATCTGACTCATTTGTATGCAAACTGTTGTTTCCTTGTCTCTCAAGCAGATGCACTCTGACTTTGAAGGAAGCTCCCAATTAGCTGACTCTTACGACATGCTTTTGGGTAGGCAGTGGGTCTGTTCTTGTTTTCCGTATAATAGGGCCCTGGAACCCACACAGGGAATAACACATGACCATTAGTGCTCCGATTCCCTCCTGAGTATGTCTCCATGTGTTTTAAGGCAACCAACATTCTGTTCTGGTTGATGTAACAAGAGGTGGCTCCCACATGGTTTTCCTGTCTCGCTGCTCCAATCGGTACACCCAGGGAGTGCAGTCTATTCAGTGAAAAATCACTTTTCACAAAACTGAAAGCTTTACAGCTTTTAATCTCTCATATGGCACTGATGATGTCTCTCCTGTCCATAGAGGGCCCATTCCTGATAGTCGCACTGCCAGCCAGGGTGTCTGCTCTCTCATTGCTTTTCACACCAGCATGATGCCCACGTGGTCAGGCACCACAGAATATTGAACATTTACTATAGACTTGCTCTCCACATGCAGTAGAGAGATCCTGGGTTTTTCCGGTTGGCAAACTTGCTCTCTACATGCAGGAGAGAGATCCTGAGTTTGTCCGGTTGGCAAACTTGCTCTCCACATGCAGTAGAGAGATCCTGGGTTTGTCCAGTTGGCAAACTTGCTCTCCACATGCAGTAGAGAGATCCTGGGTTTGTCCGGTTGGCAAACTTGCTCTCCACCTGCAGGAGAGAGATCCTGAGTTTTTCCGGTTGGCAAACTTGCTCTCCACATGCAGTAGGGAGATTTTGGGTTTGTCAGGTTGGCAAACTTGCTCTCCACATACAGTAGAGAGATCCTGGGTTTGTCCGGTTGGCAAACTTGCTCTCCACATGCAGTAGAGAGATCCTGAATTTGTCCGGTTGGCAAACTTGCTCTCCACATGCAGTAGGGAAATCCTGAGGCTTTGTCCGATTGGCATTCCAATGGAAACAGCGTTGCATGGAACAGTGGACGACATGTTTTGCACTACAGACTTCATAGAGACTTATGGCCTCATCTCGAAACCACTAGCAGGTAGAACGAACAGAACAGAAGAGACTACATACCTCCATCCTATTCTCCAGCTTCTGAAACTCCATGTCTGCCACAGATAGGTTCTCCTTGGCTTCACTGAGGTCCCCTTGTAGCTCTGTGGTTTTCAGCTGAAGTGTGTTGTAATCCGTCTTCACCTAACAAACACAACACAGAATATGTACATCAAACAGACGGCACCATGAATGGATAAATGAAGACGTGACATCACAGCACCTGGGACATTTCAAAACATGATCCGCACCCTTCTTCAGTAGCCAATTAAAGAGTTCCCATACAAACAATGACAGTTGTAACCTGACTAAAAACCCTCCTGTCCTTTACCTAGACCACCATACTATGTTAGTGTCAAACAGTACAAAGCTGAAACACTCAAAAGACTACAAGAACTTCAGGTCAAAAGAAGTGTTGCTAAACATGAACATTACACTGCCAGCCAAAGAAGAATAATAAAGCAACACAGAACTGATATTAGTGGGTTGCATTATAACCTTACAGAAGTCAGTTGCATTATAACTTTACAGAAGCCAGTTGCATTATAACCTTACAGAAGTCAGTTGCATTATAACTTTACAGAAGCCAGTTGCATTATAACCTTACAGAAGTCAGTTGCATTATAACTTTACAGAAGCCAGTTGCATTATAACTTTACAGAAGTCAGTTGCATTATAACCTTACAGAAGTCAGTTGCATTATAACTTTACAGAAGTCAGTTGCATTATAACTTTACAGAAGTCAGTTGCATTATAACTTTACAGAAGTCAGTTGCATTATAACTTTACAGAAGTCAGTTGCATTATAACTTTACAGAAGTCAGTTGCATTATAACTTTACAGAAGTCAGTTGCATTATAACTTTACAGAAGTCAGTTGCATTATAACCTTACAGAAGTCAGTTGCATTATAACTTTACAGAAGTCAGTTGCATTATAACTTTACAGAAGTCAGTTGCATTATAACTTTACAGAAGTCAGTTGCATTATAACTTTACAGAAGTCAGTTGCATTATAACTTTACAGAAGTCAGTTGCATTATAACTTTACAGAAGTCAGTTGCATTATAACTTTACAGAAGTCAGTTGCATTATAACTTTACAGAAGTCAGTTGCATTATAACTTTACAGAAGCCAGTTGCATTATAACTTTACAGAAGTCAGTTGCATTATAACTTTACAGAAGTCAGTTGCATTATAACTTTACAGAAGCCAGTTGCATTATAACTTTACAGAAGCCAGTTGCATTACAACTTTACAGAAGCCAGTTGCATTACAACTTTACAGAAGCCAGTTGCATTATAACTTTACAGAAGCCAGTTGCATTACAACTTTACAGAAGCCAGTTGCATTACAACTTTACAGAAGCCAGTTGCATTATAACTTTACAGAAGCCAGTTGCATTATAACTTTACAGAAGCCAGTTGCATTACGACTTTACAGAAGCCAGTTGCATTACGACTTTACAGAAGCCAGTTGCATTATAACTTTACAGAAGCCAGTTGCATTATAACTTTACAGAAGCCAGTTGCATTACGACTTTACAGAAGCCAGTTGCATTACGACTTTACAGAAGCCAGTTGCATTACGACTTTACAGAAGCCAGTTGCATTATAACTTTACAGAAGCCAGTTGCATTATAACTTTACAGAAGCCAGTTGCATTATAACTTTACAGAAGCCAGTTGCATTACGACTTTACAGAAGCCAGTTGCATTACAACTTTACAGAAGCCAGTTGCATTATAACTTTACAGAAGCCAGTTGCATTATAACTTTACAGAAGTCAGTTGCATTATAACTTTACAGAAGTCAGTTGCATTATAACTTTACAGAAGTCAGTTGCATTATAACTTTACAGAAGCCAGTTGCCTCATAACCTTACAGAAGCCAGTTGCATTAAAACTTTACAGAAGCCAGTTGCATTAAAACTTTACAGAAGCCAGTTGCATTAAAACTTTACAGAAGCCAGTTGCCTCATAACCTTACAGAAGCCAGTTGCATTAAAACTTTACAGAAGCCAGTTGCATTAAAACTTTACAGAAGCCAGTTGCCTCATAACCTTACAGAAGCCAGTTGCATTAAAACTTTACAGAAGCCAGCTGCATTATAACTTTACAGAAGCCAGTTGCATTAAAACTTTACAGAAGCCAGTTGCATTAAAACTTTACAGAAGCCAGCTGCATTATAACTTTACAGAAGCCAGTTGCATTATAACTTTACAGAAGCCAGTTGCATTACGACTTTACAGAAGCCAGTTGCATTACAACCTTACAGAAGCCAGTTGCATTATAACTTTACAGAAGCCAGTTGCATTATAACTTTACAGAAGCCAGTTGCATTATAACTTTACAGAAGCCAGTTGCATTATAACTTTACAGAAGCCAGTTGCCTCATAACCTTACAGAAGCCAGTTGCATTAAAACTTTACAGAAGCCAGTTGCATTAAAACTTTACAGAAGCCAGCTGCATTATAACTTTACAGAAGCCAGCTGCATTATAACTTTACAGAAGCCAGTTGCATTAAAACTTTACAGAAGCCAGTTGCATTATAACTTTACAGAAGCCAGCTGCATTAAAACTTTACAGAAGCCAGCTGCATTATAACTTTACAGAAGCCAGTTGCATTAAAACTTTACAGAAGCCAGTTGCCTCATAACCTTACAGAAGCCAGTTGCATTAAAACTTTACAGAAGCCAGTTGCATTAAAACTTTACAGAAGCCAGTTGCATTATAACTTTACAGAAGCCAGTTGCATTACGACTTTACAGAAGCCAGTTGCATTACAACCTTACAGAAGCCAGTTGCATTATAACTTTACAGAAGCCAGTTGCATTAAAACTTTACAGAAGCCAGTTGCATTAAAACTTTACAGAAGCCAGTTGCCTCATAACCTTACAGAAGCCAGTTGCATTAAAACTTTACAGAAGCCAGTTGCATTAAAACTTTACAGAAGCCAGTTGCCTCATAACCTTACAGAAGCCAGTTGCATTAAAACTTTACAGAAGCCAGTTGCATTAAAACTTTACAGAAGCCAGTTGCCTCATAACCTTACAGAAGCCAGTTGCATTAAAACTTTACAGAAGCCAGTTGCATTAAAACTTTACAGAAGCCAGTTGCATTATAACTTTACAGAAGCCAGTTGCATTACGACTTTACAGAAGCCAGTTGCATTACAACTTTACAGAAGCCAGTTGCATTACAACTTTACAGAAGCCAGTTGCATTATAACCTTACAGAAGCCAGTTGCCTTATAACCTTTTAGAAGCTAGTTGCATTAAAACTTTACAGAAGCCAGTTGCCTTATAACCTTATAGAAGCCAGTTGCATTAAAATTTTACAGAAGCTAGTTGCATTATAACATTACAGAAGCTAGTTGCATTATAACTTTACAGAAGTCAGTTGCACTATAACTTTACAGAAACCAGTTGCATTATAACTTTACAGAAACTAATTACATTGTAACTTTACAGAAACTAGTTACATTATAACTTTGCAGAAACTAGTTACATTACAATTTTACAGAAACTAGTTGCGTTACAACTTTACAGAAGCCAGTTGCATTACAACTTTACAGGACACTGCAGGCTAACCTCTGCACTTGTTGGCTGTTTATGTTTTCACTAGGTAATTGTATGTTCAGCAAGCTGCCACTGCTAACTGTACGGCCACCGCTACAAACAATATGGCCATATGCAGAACATGAATGCATAAGCCATGGACTAAAGCTTATACTATTTTAAAATCAAGGCCAAGCTGCCAAATGAACTGCAGCTGCTGATTTGAACCAGGTATGTCAGAATTATGACACTACACATATCGCTTCTAAGACACAAGCAAGTTGATATGTTAAAGTACTTGGGTGCCTTGATAATGGCAGATGCAAGATGGATAAAGAAGTGAAATGTAGGACAGCTCAAGCAAAGGTAGTATTTTACAAAATGAAGAATATTATATGATTTTTTTTTTTTGGTCAAAAAACACCAGAAAGAGAATTCTAAGGAACTTAATAAATCCTATACGGAAGTGAATTATGGACAGTTGGACGAATAGTGAAAAAAATATTTGGAATTGGTGTAGATGTAGTTTTACTGACCAATAATGAGAATACCTTGGGGAGGTAAAAAGAGTAATGAAAGAAACTGACTCATAAAGGAGACAATCTACATTCTTTAGTCGTATCATGAGATGGAGAAACTGGGGTACATTGTGATGGTGGGAAAGTTGGAGGGGAAAAGAGACAGAGGGAGGCCATGAGAGAAGATTCTCGATAATTCGGGATCATGGCATGTAGGGTCATCTATGTTAGAACTGGCTGAAAGTACACGAGAGAGAGAAGGCTGTAGATACACACGACTACCAACATCACATGGCAGGGACTGCAAGAAGAAGAAGACATAGATGCCAAACCATATTGTAAAGTACCTGATGAAAGAAAAGCATGAGACACAAAAGGAGAAGAAAGCGTAGAACAAAGAGAGGGAGAGAAATATCTGAAAGAAAACATAAGTTCCCAGACCTGTTTATGGGAGGCCAAAACGTCACTGTAGTCTTTGCTCAGTTTATCGTAGGCAGACCTCAACTGATGGTGGCTCTCCCTCAACCGCTGGTGGTCTGTCTGCAAGTTGCCCAGCGACAACAGCTGTCCTCTTCAGTTGGTCCTTCTCCTTCTCCATGGCATCACGTAGTTTATTCACATCATCCTTTCCCTGAGGAATGATGTGAGAAATCAAGGTACAGGTAACATTTAAAAAAAAAACAACCATACACTGATCTGTTACTTTAACTCCTTTTGTCTCTAGGGTAACAACTACTTGATCTGTTACTTCAACTCCTTTTGTCTCTAGGGTAACAACTACTTGACCTGTTACTACTTTAACTCCTTTTGTCTCTAGGGTAACAACTACTTGATCTGTTACTTTAACTTCTTTTGTCTCTAGGGTAACAACTACTTGATCTGTTACTTTAACTCCTTTTGTCTCTAGGGTAACAACTACTTGACCTGTTACTTTAACTCCTTTTGTCTCTAGGGTTACACCTACTTGATCTGTTGTTGGTTTCTTCATTATGTTTGTTTTTTCATAATTTATCTGCAGTCTGACCTGACCTTTGATGTTGCATTTGCTAAATCATCTGTACTTCTTTGCATGTCACTGTTTGTGCAAAACAAACTACTTAGTACGACTACTGTCATTAGCAAAATCAAGATCTTTTAACTGTGTTCTTTACCCATTCAATTTTTCCAGCGCAACATTGTTTCATCATCAAGTTTATCGTTATGCCAAATAATGGAGGAGATAAAGTACATCCCTGTTTCACTAAAGTTTCCCCCGCAAATCAATTATTTAAACCACTATCCTTTCACACTGCACACAGTGAACCATTATTTATTGCTGTAATAATATTTCTCATTGCATGCTACAAAATAATGTAAAGTGTTATGATTGAACACCATCTCCGCCCCCAACCCATCCACACACACAAAGATCTACAAACTGCTTCAGCTCAGGCTATACCTGCAACAGCACCTCCAGCTGATCCTGCAAATCCTTCAGCTCCACCTTCAAAGACTTGTGTAGAGACTTGAGGGAGCCATACTCCGCCACCAGAGACTCGTACTCAGAAGTCAACTGCTGGTGCAGATGCTGCAGGGACTCGTGATCTGACACGAAGGCCTGATGGGTGCTCTGTAGCCCTTCATATTTGTGGGTCAAATTCTCGTGGTCGGTTTCCAGGCGGGACAGCTGGTGCTTGAGCATGTCTTGTTGGGACAAGGAGGAGTTGATCTGGGACTGCAGAGTGCTGTACTCAACCTGTGTGGATTAGACAAATACAAAGTATGCTGTACTCAGCCTGTGGGTTATAAATTATGGATTAGACAAATACAAAGTGGATGCTAGTTTAGTCAGTGTGAACCTGTGTGGTTACAATGTGTGTGGATTATAAATTACATGTGTGGAAACTAGTTGAGTGGGTTACAATGTTGTGTGGATTATGTATAACTAGCTAGTTTAGTAGGTTACAAATGTGTGGAACTTAACTAGTTTAGTGGGTTACATATGTGTGTGGATTATGACTAACTTAGTGGGTTACGAATATGTGTGGATTATGACTAACTTAGTAGATTACAAATGTGTGTGAACTATAACTAGTTTAGTGGGTTACAAATGTGTGTGAACTATAACTAGTTTAGTGGGTTACAAATGTGTGTGGATTACAAAGTAGGTGTGTGGATAGCTAGTTTAGACAAATAACTTAGTTTAGTGGTTACAAATGTGTCTGAACTATAACTAGTTTACAAATGTGTGTGGTTACACTAACTTAGTGGTGTGTGTGGATTATAGACTAGCTTAGTGGGTTACAAATGTGTGTGGATTATGACTAACTTAGTGGGTTACAAATGTGTGTGGATTATGACTAACTTAGTGGGTTACAAATGTGTGTGAACTATAACTAGTTTAGTGGGTTACAAATGTGTGTGGATTATGACTAACTTAGTGGGTTACAAATGTGTGTGGATTATGACTAACTTAGTGGGTTACAAATGTGTGTGGATTATGACTAACTTAGTGGGTTACAAATGTGTGTGGATTATGACTAACTTAGTGGGTTACAAATGTGTGTGGATTATGACTAACTTAGTGGGTTACGAATATGTGTGGATTATGACTAATTTAGTGGGTTACGAATATGTGTGGATTATGACTAACTTAGTGGGTTACAAATGTGTGTGGATTATAACTAGTTTAGTGGGTTACAAATATGTGTGGATTATAACTAGTTTAGTAGGTTACAAATATGTGTGGATTATAACTAGTTTAGTAGGTTACAAATATGTGTGGATTATAACTAGTTTAGTAGGTTACAAATATGTGTGGATTATAACTAGTTTAGTGGGTTACAAATATGTGTGGATTATAACTAGTTTAGTAGGTTACAAATGTGTGTGGACTATAGCTAGTTTAGTAGGTTACAAATGTGTGTGGATTATAACTAGTTTAGTAGGTTACAAATGTGTGTGGATTATAACTAATTTAGTAGGTTACAAATGTGTGTGGATTATAACTAGTTTAGTAGGTTACAAATGTGTGTGGATTATAACTAATTTAGTAGGTTACAAATGTGTGTGGACTATAGCTAGTTTAGTAGGTTACAAATATGTGTGGATTATAACTAGTTTAGTAGGTTACAAATATGTGTGGATTATAACTAATTTAGTAGGTTACAAATGTGTGTGGATTGTAAAACTTTTAACAGGTTATAAATGTGTACTGCTGTAGTTTCTCGTGTGGGTTCCAAGGCCCTATTGTGGGGGAAAACAAGAATACCCACTAGTAGTCAACTAACTGGGGGATTTTTTCCAAGTCGTAGTGCATCTGTCTGAGAGGCACAGAACAAACAATCTGCACACAAATCAGAGTCAAATCTGTTAAACTGATGTGCACACAACACTCAGGTTGTGGGACAAGACTAAAGTCCAGAGGTGGATGAACAACCAGAACATTTTGCTGGAGTTTACAGCCCGTGAAGAAAAAGGAAGGAGGAGGAGGTGGAAAAGGAGAGGGACAAGGAGTAGGTGCAGAAGAAAAAGGAGAAGAAGAAGAAGAAGAAGAAGAAGAAAAAGAAGAAGAAGAAGAAGAAGAAGAAGAAGAAGAAGAAGAAGAAGAAGAAGAAGAAGAAGAAGAAGAAGAAGAAGAAGAAGAGGAGGAGGAGGAGGAGTGGGTTATAAATATATGCTGCACTCTACCCAAATGGATTATAACTTATAAGCATAACACAAGGAAGGCAAACAACATTTAAAAAACATGACACCATCTACAAACAGAACATGATAACAACAGCACGAACAATGACCTGAAGTTTTGCGTTCTGCTCCTGTAAGTTTGAGTAATGACTCTGCAGTACTGCATGCTGGGAATGCACATTGGCCAGCTGTGTCTCCAGCTTAACGCACTGGTCTGTCAAGTGCTGGTTGTTGCTGCGGAGGTTGTCAGTCTCTGCCAGCAGAGTGGCATTCTGGGAAATATTCATGAAATTCTTTAAACTGTGGTAGTAAAACTGCAGAAGTGTGGTTGTGTGGTTTAAGGGTCGGTGAACGCTTTTCACGGTCCTCAACATAATAAAGTCTGATTTCCATGGTAACCCATTTAGAAACAGACTTTATGGTTTTCAGAAAGGTACTAAACAGGGGTAAAGTAAAAAGTAAAGGACCCTTTCCATGCTTTTCAGGCGTATTGGGTATATAGGGCTAGACATATATTTTATGGACCAAATGGCACTTGGTGGGTGATGTGGTCAGCATCATGCCGGCTGCCTTTACTTCCCAGGAATATACCTGGTACCCACTCAAGGCTGGGTCAACCTGGGAGCCAAGGTCTTTTAAAAAAAAAAATAAATCCGGCTCTTGTCAGGAACCGAACCCACAAACTTCTGATCCGCAGCCGAGCATATAGCCGCTAAACCACGCCGGCTCCCACTAAACAGGGGTGTTTACTTGAAAACGAATTCTTGCCACACTGCGCCAGAACTGAGTGCATTGAACATGATCATGATACAGTCATGTGATAAGTACTGACCAATGAATGAAAGAGCCTAGTTAGTCATGCTCTCAAGTTCACTTGTTTCCTAACAGAGAGTCCTACAGTAATGGAGAGTCCTACAGTAACAGAGAGTCCTACAGTAACAGAGAGTCCTACAGTAACAGAGAGTCCTACTGTAACAGGAGTCTTAAAGTAACAGAGAGTCCTAAAGTAACAGTCTTACAGTCACAGAGTCCTACAGTAACAGAGAGTCCTACAGTAACAGAGAGTCCTACAGTAACAGAGAGTCCTACAGTAACAGTTTGAGGGAAAATCCTAATAATGACAGGTAAGCAATGACGCAGGATATGCTCTCACCTTCCGCTCCAGCTCCACCAGGTGATCCTTCAGCTGGAAGATCTCCTTGGTTGCCACAGAAGGTGCATATTTCCCATCTCTGTCAGTGGAACACAACAGAGGCATAATGATTCCTGCATACACTAAAGCGACAAACCCCCCCTTCCCACCCCCAATGCACAGCTTATAACACATACATGTTTACATGCACACACTAGTTAGTAACTTGGTTCTCAACATACACAAAAAGACAAACTCCTATACATTGGTAGTTTAGTTGTCTGAAATCATCTACCTTCTTTTTCATTCTTGCTATCTAATACAGCATTTTCTGCTGACTACTCCTTTCTCATCCAGGCCTGGGACCGGCAATGGTGGTTTTCAAAAAACATATAAGACAAACTCCTACACATTGGTTAATTTAGTTGTCTGAAATCATCTGAACAGTTACCTGTCTTTTTCCTCCTTCTTGCTATCTAGTACAACTTTCTCTGACGACTCCTCCTCGAGCCTCTGTTTCAAAAGTTCACCCTCTCGTTTGGCAGTCCTCAGCTCCTCTTGGAGTTTCAGGTTGCGGCTCTTGGACTCTTCCAGTCTGGACTCCAGCGATAGAATTTTCTTTTCCTTGATCTCGCTGCTTTTCTGTAGGGTTTCCTCGATCATTGTCTCCAGGGCTTTGTAACGACTGTGTGAAGGAAAAAAAGATCACTAGAAACAAATGTTATCTTTCTTCTAAATCACTGTCTCTTCGTCAAAATATGTTCTAATTTTTTAGGGTAGGAAACACGGAGATGTGTCACTGCAGCGTGGCACCCAAAAATGCTGAGCATGTGCTCCAACACTGTCAACTGTATGCTGACTACAGAGATGCAAATTGGCCTGTTCCAACCACAATGAAGAAAAAGCTGTATGGTACACGAGAAGATATGAACTGCACTTTCATAAAAGCTACCGGCCTCCTGATATAAGTTTTCTGACAGAAGGATCAAAGAAGAAGAAGACTGTCGTTTTCAAATTTATAATAGCCGTGAACAGAAGTAAAAAAGACAGACAGACAGGCAGGCAGACGTCATAATCAGCAGGTCTTTTACAGAACATCACACTCATCACAGAAGACCTTCTTCTTCTTCTTCTTCAGCGATCTCTGGTCATGCGCATAATCCACTGTGGGTCATAAACTGGGATGTCTTTTCAAGGTCTCTTAGGTTTCCCCAAAGCTTAGTTGTCAGTTCTACTGGGTGTTGCCATATGTCGCTCCGCAGCTCCGCCAGGAGAGGACAGTCTTGCAGAACATGTTCTGGAGTCTGTTCAGCACGAAGGCACTGGCATAGAGCTGTTTGGCTCATACCTAATTTATGTGAGTGTTTATTGAGTCTGCAGTGTCCAGTGCGTAAGCGAAAAACGGTGACTTGGTCTGTTCTGTTCAAGTGTTTCAGAAAATCTTTTTCGTAGTTATAACCAGTGTTGGTTTTCCAATCTGTTTCTGATTTTCTCTTAATGAGAGTTTTGACTTCTGGAAAAGATAGTGGCTTGAGCAGCCCCCACCGGTGGGGGCTGCTAGGGACACAGTAGTGGCATCTGGGTGTTTTATGTAAACACCTGCCCCACCATTCGTAGTTGCCTCTTTTGCTGATCCATCCGTGTAGATTCTGGTCCAGCTGTCCTGTGGGAACATGTTGAGGTGTTCCATTGTGAGTGCTTTCTTCACTAAAGCGGGCTCAGCATCTTTGTTTCCCAGGTTCGGGATGGATGTTGACACATTGAGTGTTAATAATTCGGAGTCCCAAAGATCGAAAGATAGCTCTTCAGGTGTACATTGTTGGTTAAGTAGTGAAGAGAATGACTTTCCAAATTCCTTCGTTAGATGGTTTAGGCTTGTGCGCTTTATTAGGTTTTTTGTCCTGGCTGCCAATTTTTCGTGTAATGGGTGGGGTAGAATTTTCTTTTCATTTTTTCAGCATGTAGAATTGCTTTTGTCTTTCTTCTTTCTTCTAGAGTCAGTGCTTCTGTGCTGTCGGTAGCCTGTCTGAGCCGGATCCAGTTTGTGGATGGTTTCTAGGAACCACTGAAGTCTGGTGGCTAGCACTCTCTCCATCAGTTTTGCGGGGCAGCTTAGCAGACTGACAGGCCTGTAGCTCTGAGGGTCCTTCTTGTCCTTGCCACTTTTGAGGATAGGGTGGATTATAGAATTTTTCCAGATATCTGGGACTCTGCCTAGTTTCCAGCTATAGTTGTATATCTGGAGTAAGATGTTTTGTGCTACTGGACCCATATGTTTGAGCATGTCGTTTGAAACTTCGTCTGGGCCAGGTGCCTTCTTTGACTTGAGTTTCCTCATTGCTCTTAGTAGCTCAGTTAGAGTGATGTCTTGTCTCCATGCATGGCTCACAAGAGGCTTTTTTGAATATGGAGTTTATCCCATCTCGGACTGCTTTCTTTTGCTCCAGGGTTACTGAATATGAGCTTTCTTTCTCATAATTTTGGGCCATCAGAGTCGTTGCTTCCTTCCCTGTGAGTAGGTTTCCTTCTTGTTGGAGAACTGTTTTTCCATGAGATGGGTTGTCATCATTAAGTGCCTTTGTCAGTCTCACAGAAGACCTGAAAGCCTCTCTCTCTAGCCAATTATCCAGACCTATGTGCTTTCATAGACAATGCATCTTCAATGTCTTGTATCCATGTTCACGGAGGTGGGCCTCCTGATTGTTTCCTGGAAACTGCGCCCTCCATCACTGTAACTCTCTAGGACACCATGAATTTTAACATGGCCAAAATACCTCAGGATGCTGTTTATGAGCCAATCCTCCATGATTTTCAAATCCTATAGGATGGCAGGCAGACAGATACACAATATTTTTTTTTAAAATTACGCACCAGTCTCTATCAATACTTGGCCGCTGTTAAATTTTGAATGTTGAATTAAGAATCGACATCACAGCACTCGGGACACTCTCATAAGTGCTCAGTCCCTTATTTTCAGCAGCAAGCGAAGAGTTCCAATTCCGATGGTACCAGTAACCGCCTGATTGTATATCCGTCTCATCCTTCCTCTGAGTGCTAAGCATCGGCCAGGTACCCTGGTAACCCCTTGCAGCACTATTCTCCTTAGACCGCAATGATCTATCTGGACCTCCGCACTGTTCACTCGCTCCTAAAGGGCCCTCACATTATCTAACTTGTCATATATCAAGTGCTGCAAAGCCAGCCAGTCTATCTGCCTGCTCATTTCCCAACACACCGGCATGACCTGGAGTACTTAGCAGTTGTGAATGGTAATAAGAAGAAAATGGTTACAGATAGTTTGAGAGATAAGCATCTGAGAAGAAACATAACAATGGACCTGAAATTTCATCTACTTAGTGTGAAACATTTCACAACAGCTGGTCTTGCTAGGCATACTCAACAGTGCCAGGTCTTCCTGTAGCAAAATGCAACATTATTATATGGAAAGATGAAAAAGTGCCAAGAGAATGATGATATAAAAACAGCCAGAAGACATGGGCAAAGAAGCAAGCACAGGCAGATTTCAGTGCTGAAACTATCAATAATGACACAAGTCAACGACCAAATTGCAATAGGACTTAAAACAGCTGATCTTTACTTCGTTCTGGTGTGCTGAAAATGAAAATGACATAAACAAATGTTGACTGGCTCTAGTTTTTAAGAAATATGCTACTAGTTTATTTAATCACAGTCAATTTATTAAGATATGATGCTGCTGTGGTGACATGTAGCCATAAACACAGATCCAGACACACAGCAAGTGGTGACCTGTAGCCATAAACACAGATCCAAGCACACAGCACGTGGTGACCTGTAGCCATAAACACAGATCCAGACACACAGCAAGTGGTGACCTGTAGCTATAAACACAGATCCAGACACACAGCAAGTGGTGACCTGTAGCCATAAACACAGATCTAGACACACAGCACAGTGGTGACCTGTAGCCATAAACACAGATCCAGACACACAGCACGTGGTGACCTGTAGCTATAAACACAGATCCAGACACACAGCACGTGGTGACCTGTAGCCATAAACACAGATCCAGACACACAGCATGTGGTGACCTGTAGCCATAAACACAGATCACGTAGTGACACACACAGATCCAGCAAGTGGTGACCTGTAGCTACAGATCCACACACATCACAGGTGACCTGTACATAGCACAGAGTGTGGTGACCTGTAGCTATAAACACAGATCCAGACACCCAGCACGTGGTGACCTGTAGCCATAAACACAGATCCAGACACCCAGCACGTGGTGACCTGTAGCCATAAACACAGCATGTGGTGACCTGTAGCCATAAACACAGATCCAGACACACAGCACGTGGTGACCTGTAGCCATAAACACAGATCCAGACACACAGCACGTGGTGACCTGTAGCCATAAACACAGATCCAAGCACACAGCAAGTGGTGACCTGTAGCCATAAACACAGATCTAAGTCAGCCCTAAAGATTACTGCCACCACAAACCCAACATCAGAGCATGCCAGAACTTGAGTTTTGCATGCACATCCGGTTTCGAGATCTGGCATATTTGTGCATCTTCCTGGCAGGTAAGGAACAAACAGTTTGCATACAAAAAAATCACATCTATCAAATGTATGTGCACGCAGAAATTAAATAATCTGCATACAAAAAGTCATTTCTATAAAATAGATGTGCACGCAAAAATTAAATAGTGTGCATAAAAAAGTCACATCTAAAAAATATATGTGCATGCAAAACTCAAGCACTGGAACAAGATCAAAGTCCAGAAGAGGATGAACAACCAGAAACTGCTGCTGGACCTTATAGCGGGTGAATGTTAAGAAGAAGAAGAAGAAGAGGAGAGATGGTGCTCAGATTATACAAATTAAAGTTACGGAAGAATGGTAACAGAACTGACTTCGCATCCTTGGCCTGCTCCGCCACAGTCAGCTTTGCTGTATCCACTCCGAGATTCTCCAGGTCACTAGTCAGTTGCTCCAACTCATTACTCAGCTCCTGGGAGCGGATCTTTTCATTCACCAGGTCCTAGAATCATAAAAGATGACACACAATCATAAAAAATGACTGATAAAATTTCTGTTATATTTAAAAGGTCACCTATCGGTCAATTCAGGTGTGGGATTGTTAGTGTCGGCACGACTGACAGCTGACATGCATTTACTTTGCCTGTGCAAGCTTCAGGAATTTGATGGGACTGATAAGTTTTTGACTAGTTTTCAAATGGGACAGCGAAAGACATTTTGCGTGACTTCCACTGGCACAGAAATGGAGAAGTAATGGAGCCTCTGCAGTGATGTTGAAACCTTGACTAAGGACCAACATCCTCATGCAGCATTCCTGTTCTTCAACAGTCACAATTTTGTATGCAACCACTGCAGCACAGGCCGCAAACAGGGTGGTGCACTTGAAACTAACCAGTTTCCCACAGTTTGCCTTAAAGAGTCATTCCCAAAGGCAAAAATTATCTGTAGCAAATTCCTTGCAGGATACATGCTCATGAACCCCCGTGTGGGTTCCGGGGACCCCATTGTCGGGAAAACAAGAATAGACCCACTGCCTCCCCAAAAGCATGTCGTAAGAGTCGACTAATTGGGGAGCTTCCTTTGAAGTCATAGTGCATCTGAAGGAGAGGCAAGGAACCAACAGTCTGTATTCAAAAGAATGAGATCTGTAAAACTGATGCACATGCAACACTCAGGTTCTGGAACAGGACTGCAGTTCAGTAGTGGACGATCAACCAGAACTTTCTGCCAGAGTTTACAGCTGGTGAACGCGAAGAAGAAGAAGATATGCTCATGAAGAATACGCCTGACAGGCTCCTTTATGCTCTCCTGTCCTATGCATTTCCCACCACGACCACCATTATCATAATCATCCTATTATGCCATTACATGTTATTTAGGGCTCACAGTCTACTCCTCCATTCCACCCTATCTTGCATAATCGATATCATATCACAGAACATTCATGATCAAGATGTCTTTGAAATCGCGAGGATCGACTTCATATGTTATCCCATATGGCTCAGTCTCTCTTTGTAGAACAGCTAGCAGCCTGCACAGAGCGCTGCACACAGCAACAACTCTGCGACGATCCCCAGGGATTTCCATGAAACCTGCACTCGTGAAGTGAATGGTACAGTCATGAAACAAACCCACGACCTTCAGAATGAGAGGCAACCGGCTTGACCACTTCTCCACAGAGACCCCTAAGAGGTCTTTATTAATCTGGATATTATTCTGAAGAAAACCACGAGGAAAGGGAGAGCGAAGGTAAAAGAGAGCGAACAAAAATGGCAGCAATAAATATAACACTACACATATAGAGGATTCCTGTCTGCTCGGTCCTTTAGAGAAAGCAAAGAATAATAAGACTGTCAGTTATCAAGCGTAACGTAAGCGAGTTGGACATGGCGTTGACTACACTGACAGTAGAAAATACAGCTGCGTCAGATAACTTACACTCCATAAATCTACAGAAGAAACAAGAATAAATCAGTTACCCATGATGGATGGATGATCTTCTAATAAAATTAATCATGAAGCCATATGGATAAGACGGAAAGGAGTCAGGATTATTGCGTTACTACCTTTCACCAGCCAGAAATATATCCAGACTTAACACCTTCAAAATCTCCAGTTATCACTTAGAAATTCTCCAGATTTACTACCTAGAAAATTCTCCACATTTAAAAAAAAGTAAAGAATCCTTTTCCACGCCTTTAGGCATATAGGGCTAGCCCTATATTTTTATAGACCAACCGGCACAAGATGAGTGATGTGGTCAGCATCACGCCGGCCGCCTTTACTTCCCGGGACTGCACCCGGTACCCATTCAAGGCTAGGTTGACCTGAGAGCCAAGGTCATTTTTGAAAATAGTCCAGCTCCGCCAAGGAACGAACCTAGGACCTTCAGATCCGCGGCGAGCGTCTAGCCGCAAGGCCACGGCGACCCCCAAAAGATCCCTTTACACGCCCTTAGGCGCATCGGGCATACGGGAAGAGCACCCATATTTTTAGACCAATCGGCACTCGGTGAGTAATGTCGTCAGCATTACGCCGGCCGTCTTTACTTTCCCAGGACAGCCCATTCTGGTATCCATTTGAGGCTGGGTCGACCTGCGACGTCCCATACCACGATAACAATACACGTCTCCACAATTACCACATAGAAAATCTCTAGATTTACCACCTAAAAAATCTCTAGGTTTACCACCTAAAAAATTTTCAGGTTTACCACCTAGAAAATCTCTAGATTTACCACCTAGAAAATCTCCAGATTTGCCTTCTAGAAAGATCTCCAGTTAACACCCAGAAACAAAATCGCTAAAGATAGCACCTAGAAAATACTCAAAGATTACCAATGAGAAAATCTCCAGAATTGGCACCTGGAATAGAACTATAAAAGCATTTAGATCTGAATGAATTTTCCCTAGAATCCACAAGGTACAGATGGAAGATGGAATGAGAGCTAAAACACAAGAAAAGATTTAGACAAGATATGAATGATATGTGGGAGACATGGCAAGAGCTGTAGAAAACAGTGAAAAAATATGACAGCCGGATAAGAGTTGGCTGACGACCGATGCTTCAATATCAGATGGGAGATAAAAAGGAAGAAGATAGAAACTGCTAAAGCCTATGAGCTAGTCCTATTACAATTATTTCTTTGGTTTCCAGGCCCTGGTTCCCCCCATATGAATGACGGAAGGCGGGCCAAGACGCTGTGATTGGACGGTCAGTCTCCACTTTAAGCTGTCAGAAGGTCAAGTGTAAGTAAGTGGCAGGGGTGTCAGTTGTCTCTTTAGTGTATACGTTGGAGTGCGGACAGGTACACAGTGTATTGCAGTGGCTTTTCTGAGCGACTAAGTATATAGTATTAGTGTTTGTTGGTGGGTAAATGACAGCCATCTAGGATGGCGCTGAGCTAGATGGGCCCGAAAAATTGATAAGAACCTAGTCCTGTTCCAGAAATAGTGTTGCTAGATTGGCCCGAAAAATTGATAAGAACCTAGTCCTGTTCCAGAAATAGTGTTGCGTGCACATCTGTTTCACAGATCTGACTCATTTGCATGCAGATGTTGGTTCCTTGCCTCTCAGACTTCGAAGGAAGCTCCCAATTAATCGACTTTTACGACATGCTTTTAGGCAGGCAGTGGGTCTATTCTTGTTTTTCCCCACAATGGAGCCGTGGAACCCACACGGGGATCTTTGAATTCTAAAACTGTTTATTTAGATCTCTAAAACGATCAACTTTCTGACCTCTCTGAGGGTGGCCAGGGTCCTCCTGTCTGTGTTCAGTTCCTGTAGAAGCTGCTTGTTCTCCTTCTCCAAGTCCTTGACCTTGCCGCAAGTCTCCTTCATATTCTCCACTGCCAGCTTCTGGGTTTTCACCTCTTGACCCAGACTAAGGACCTTGGCATTGACCTCTTCCAGGGATGACCCTTTTGCATCTAAGTTCTGCTTTAGCTTTCTGATAGAAATAAAGCAATTAAACAAATACATTAAAATCTATAATGACGTTACTATAGACATGGAGGATGTATTTATTTGCATTTATAAAAAATGATCTCTAAATATATAGTGAGGTTAAAAAGCAACAATCTATAAATAGGATTAGAGTGAAACATTACATGGAATACATTCCCCTGGGCATGAGAAACATAAGGTAATGTATGACTTATTCCACGACCTATATCACTGAGGCTACAGGAACATTTGACACCAACATGCCATTTAATTCATAAGAATAATGTTTTTAGAAAATATTTACATATCTGAGATTCATAAACACTGCGCAAGTGCAAACAGAACCAATGGCATTTAACTACACTTCTCGAGAACATTTAGGGGAATGCATCACAACCAGCAGTAACAGGATTTAAGCTTCTTGGGGCAAAAGAGTTAAATATGAAAGCATCAAGTTTCGTGCCTTGGATGATGAAAAATGAAAAGACCTGATCAGACAGTCAACAATAACGTGTAATCCAACAAAACATAACATTACGGAGCTATAGACCATACAAAAACAAATTGTGGCCAGAATTTTACAAACAATAGGAACAGAGAAATTAATGAGAGAGGGGGACAGTTGAAAAAAAAAAGGTAAAGGACCCTTTTCCATGCCTTTCGGGTACATTAGGCCCATAGGGCTAGACCTATATTTTATAGGCTAATCAGCACTCTGTGGGTGACATGGTCAATATCCCACCAAGAGGGACAGAGAAAGCAAAAAATGGAGACACAAAGGGAGACAGACAGGTTACAACATCAACTGACTTGTTCTCCTTCTCCAGAGCACTCTTGTCTTTCTGAAGACGAAGCAACTCAGCTTCCAACTGGGAGGACTCCTTGTCCTTCTCCTCCAAATGCTGGGCTGTCACCCGCAGAGTCTCTAGCTCACTGTTCAGCTTCTCCTTCTCTGTCTCCAAGTCCACGTTGTCCTTGTCCAACTGTTGCAGCTGCCGGCTCATCAACTCAACACTCTTACGCAGACGCTAAATATAAAAAAAAAAAAAAAAAAATAAAGAATATTCCAACAGTCAGGGAAATTGTTACAAAACTAAGAGTGAACAAGATAAACAAATTTTCTAAACAGCTGTTTTAGATTCTACAAAGAAGGCAATAGACTGCATCATTTATTATCTGGCATACTTCACATCTAGAGAGTTGCATTCTTCTTCTTCATCTGTCTCCCAGTAGAGCACAGGCCCTAAACCAACTCAGGCCAGGTTGTTCTATCCTTTGCTGTTACATGCAGCTCACCCCATGTCCTCCCCATCTTTTTAACTTCACTCTCTGGCTATCTTATCTGTGTTTTTTGGTTAGCCTTTATTTCTATGACCCTGTGGATTCCAATGTACAGACAATCTAGTTATCCTGTTCTCAGAATTTCTCAACATGTGTCCTACCCAGCGATAATGTCTTGACTTTACCTCTTGAATCACAGGAATTTGTTAGCTCTCTCCCAAAGCCTAATAAGTGGCATATGCTACTACTGTCAACTCTGGTGGAAAGTCCTGGTTGGTGGTCTAATTCTTCCCTTTGTTCTCGTTCCAGGAAGTGTTGCATGCATGTCCATTTTACAGATATGGCTTATTTCTGTGCAAGGCTGTTGGCTTCTTGCCTCTCGGGCTCCAACTTCGAAGGAAATATTGATCTTATTTACAATGGCCAGACACCTGCTCCCGAGTAAGAAATATGTTTCTGGTATGACCAAGAAGAGGAGTAGATAAGTCTATACCTAGTCTCAGTGCATGACCCTGCGTGACTCAGCACTTTTGCATCCTTACTGCATACTGTAGTCAGCTGCATCTCTTTTACAGGACACTAAAGAACCAATCCCAGCAGTTGTGTGAATGTTCGTGATTTCACTAGGCAATGTTATGTTCGGTAATTTGCAAATACCTTCTGAACAGTCGCCTCTCAATATCTCCTTCGAAACCAATGCCAGGCAGTCTGCTGCCAAACTGCCTACAGCTGTGATTAAACCTGGCACCCTGGAATTACAAAGCGCATTTACAATGCCTAAGCCATAGATGGTGTGTAAACCAAATTTTGCCTTTTTCTGCCCTACTGCCATCAAGTGTCACAGAAAGGAGTTAGATTTAGTTTCCTGGGCTTTTGCTAGTTGTGTAGCTTATGTTAATGTAATGTAATGATTTTCGTACTTTCCTGGCTTTTGCTAGTTGTGTAGTTTATGTTAATGTAATGTTGATTTTTATAGTTTCCTGGCTTTTGCTAGTTGCGTTGTTTATATTAATGTAATGTTGATTTTCAGTTTCCTGGCTTTTGCTAGTTGTGTAGTTTATATTAATGTAATGTTGATTTTCAGTTTCCTGGCTTTTGCTAGTTGTGTAGTTTATGTTAATGTAATGTTGATTTTCATAGTTTCCTGGCTTTTGCTAGTTGTGTAGTTTATGTTAATGTAATGTTGATTTTCATAGTTTGTTCCTTTTGCTAGTTGTGTAGCTTATGTTAATGTAATGTTGACTTTCATAGTTTCCTGGCTTTTGCTAGTTGTGTAGTTTATATTATTGTAATGTGGATTTTCAGTTTCTTGGCTTTTGTTAGTTGTGTAGTTTATATTAATGTAATGTTGATTTTCAGTTTCCTGGCTTTTGCTAGTTGTGTAGTTTATGTTAATGTAATGTTGATTTTCATAGTTTCCAGCTTTTGCTAGTTGTGTAGCTTATGTTGATGTAATGTTGATTTTCTCCTCTTCATATCTTTAACACATTCATCTGAACAATTAAATCTCCACCGGCTTGCTGGGCCTGTCCTAGAATCATTTTTAACTGCAATTTATCAAAAGTAACACTTTCATTCAAAGCTGAAAACACAAAGGAAAAAAAAACGTGTCTTGTGTACACCGCCATATTGGATAACCCTATATAGTAACAAAAGTAAAACAGATGAAGCCATATTTATGTGTGCATATGTGTATCTCTCTACCTCTTCTCTGTTGAAGTTTGCAAATGTTCACTTCTACACACCCAATGACACCAGCTATCTAGAGACTAGTTTGACCTTTCTGTTCACACGCATACAGACTCCACATCCTACCTGGTTCTCGTTTGACAGGTTCAAGATCTCCACCTCCATCTGTTCCTGTTTCAGCTTCTGTGTCTTCTGCCCTTCCAGAAGCTTCTGCAGCTGCTGAATCTCTTTGCTGAGATCATTCTTCTCTGACTCCAGCTCCACTGCTCTGTCAGTCTCTGACTTCAGAGTCTCCAGCGTCCTCTGTCAATGGATTTTTTAAAACCACATAAGAGATAAGAAATACTACTGGAATAACAGCCATCACTAAATAATTCAGAAACAAAGACTGAAATGGTTCAGCCATCCAGAGAGAATGAACCACATGACGACGGCAGCAAGAATGTACAACATGAAAATAGAAACATTAAGAAATAGAGGGAGACCTAGAAGATAATGGATTGAAGAAGTCAGTGCAAGCTTTAAGGCCCACTACCTATCATATGCTAAACTGTGACTCCTGGCAGTACAAAGCAGAGACTGACAAAAGAAAGAAAAAGTGCTAAGAAAATTTTTCATTCCTGTCTCAAGTGACTATAAAATCAGTCAGGTGCTAAGTTACAAGTGTATGGCTATTTGAACAGCATTGTTCTGAAAAGTTTGTGTTTGCTCACCAGTATACATTTAGACATTAGTGTTGAATAAAAAAAAAAAGAGGATGGAGAGAAGAAGGATAGCGACAGTTCAGCTAGGACTGATTTTCTTTCTTTGTAATTTCCATTTTCGGTAGACCATTGAAGATTTTCACAACCATATTTGTTGGTCTTTATGTACGAGGGTCAAGCAGCTGCGACAAAATTAATATCTGGTTGTTTACAGGCAGAAAACATGCCCCTGTGGGCATTGTCAGAAGATACACCCTTGTGTTCCCTTTCAGGAACAGAAAATGTTTTATGTTCTAGCAAAAAAGGGGCCATTCTGGATGGTACTGACAGAGCTTGTAGCAAGAAAGGGGCCATTCTGGATGGTATTGACAGAGCTTGTAGCAAGAAAGTGGCCATTCTGGATGGTATTGACAGAGCTTGTAGCAAGAAAGTGGCCATTCTTGATGGTACTGACAGAGCTTGTAGCAAGAAAGTGACCATTCTGAATGGTACTGACAGAGCTTGTAGCAAGAAAGTGACCATTCTGGATGGTACTGACAGAGCTTGTAGCAAGAAAGTGACCATTCTGGATGGTACTGACAGAGCTTGTAGCAAGAAAGTGGCCATTCTGGATGGTACTGACAGAGCTTGTAGCAAGAAAGTGGCCATTCTGGATGGTACTGACAGAGCTTGTAGCAAGAAAGTAGCCATTCTGGATAGTACTGACAGAGCTTGTAGCAAGAAAGTAGCCATTCTGGATAGTACTTACAGCGCGTGTAGCAAGAAAGTGGCCATTCTGAATGGTACTGAAAGAGCTTGTAGCAAGAAAGTGATCATTCTGGACGGTATTGACAGAGCTTGTAGCAAGAAAGTGACCATTCTGGATGGTACTGACAGAGCTTGTAGCAAGAAAGTGGCCATTCTGGATGGTACTGACAGAGCTTGTAGCAAGAAAGTGGCCATTCTGGATGGTACTGACAGAGCTTGTAGCAAGAAAGTGACCATTCTGGATGGTATTGACAGAGCTTGTAGCAAGAAAGTGGCCATTCTGGATGGTACTGACAGAGCTTGTGGCAAGAAAGTGACCATTCCGGATGGTACTGACAGAGCTTGTGGCAAGAAAGTGACCATTCTGGATGGTACTGACAGAGCTTGTAGCATGAAAGTGACCTTTCTGGATGGTACTGACAGAGCTTGTAGCAAGGAAGTTACCATTCTGGATGGTACTGACAGAACTTGTAACAAGAAAGTGATCATTCTGGATGGTACTGACATAACTTGTAACAAGAAAGCGATCATTCTGGATGGTACTGACAGAGCTTGTAGCAAGAAAGTGATCATTCTGGATGGTACTGACAGAACTTGTAACAAGAAAGCGATCATTCTGGATGGTACTGACAGAGCTTGTAGCAAGAAAGTGACCATTCTGGATGGTACTGACAGAGCTTGTAGCAAGAAAGTGACCTTTCTGGATGGTACTGACAGAGCTTGTAACAAGAAAGTGATCATTCTGGATGGTACTGACAGAACTTGTAACAAGAAAGCGATCATTCTGGATGGTACTGACAGAGCTTGTAGCAAGAAAGTGACCATTCTGGATGGTACTGACAGAGCTTGTAGCAAAAAAGTGACCATTCTGGATGGTACTGACAGAGCTTGTGGCAAGAAAGTGACCATTCTGGACGGTACTGACAGAGCTTGTGGCAAGAAAGTGACCATTCTGGACGGTACTGACAGAGCTTGTAACAAGAAAGCGATCATTCTGGATGGTACTGACAGAGCTTGTAGCAAGAAAGTGACCATTCTGGATGGTACTGACAGAGCTTGTGGCAAGAAAGTGACCATTCTGGACGGTACTGACAGAGCTTGTAGCAAGCAAGTGGCCATTCTGGACGGTACTGACAGAGCTTGTAGCAAGAAAGTGTTTGGATGCTTACCTGCAGGCGTTGATGCTCCAGTTTCAAGGAGATGTGATCCTGTTCCTCTTGCTCTCTTCGCTGAGCCAGTTTCTGAAGACTCTCCACCGTTTTCTGCAACCTGTGATTTTCTATACTGAGATCCGAACTCTCCTGCTCCACCACTTCCAGTCTGTCAGCAGTGTGTTGTAGCGTAGCAACCTGAATGTTTGAGACATTAGAAACTAAGTTATCAGAGATAACACTGGCAATGGGGGGGGCTGAGTGGTCTCAAGGCATGGCCTCCACCTCGAGTGCTGGTGGTCCCGGATTCAGGCCCCGGTGAAAGCTGAGATTTTTTCACGTTGACTACTAGTAATTTCCCCTGTCCTCTGGGTAGTAAGATCGGATGCCCGTGTGTACTGCTGCACACGTTAAAAAAATCCCTTGGCAGTTGGAAATAGAAAATAATAGCTTAACGGCGTTGCCTGGGCACAATTTGAAGTTTAAAATCTACCCAAAGTATTTCAGGATCCTCACTGGTGTTACCAAGTTCGGGCACTGCACTGAGATTCTTTGGACTAATGCTTGAGTTAGAAATAGAATAGAGCACTTATGGGTTATTACCCTTGTGCCATGATGTTGATCCGTTGTTCAAACCTAAACCTAGAGACACTAATTCTGGCTCAGCGGGAAATGACCAGGGGATCTGGCCGACATTCTACACTCAGATAATCAAGAGTTCCTTCTGCATAGCAAACAGGTATAGTTGCTGTCCCTGTGCTAATGAAAACTGTACAGATGTCCATCACTGTCACTAATGGGAAGATGGACACAGACTGCAGTCTCAGCAAAGCCAATAACATACACCCCCATTACATGCCTAAGGCAGTTGTCAGAAGTGCCAACGCAAACAGCCCGACACTAGAAATTCCTTTTATCATCGACGAACCTCTACATCTAGAGACAGGCAAGATTGACATATTATTAAAATACTGCTGGTTCTGTCGGTACTGGAACTCTTTGATGGCTGCCGAAGTAAGGGACGGAGTGATTATGGGAATTGCCTGAGTGCCATGATGTCAGTTCATAAGTCAACATTTGGACTGGTCAGTGACATGATACGTGTCTATGCCTTTTTTGCTTAAAAATAATATGTTAACTTTCATTTGCTTTCTTTTTTTAAACTTTTAATAAAACTGGTAACTAAATGTTATCATAAGAGATTATTGAAGTATAAATGAACATTTCTAAATTGCTTGATGCCATCTAGTTGCACCCCCAGACACCCCCCCCCCCCCGAAATCAGGCTGAAAACCACTGTGCTTTATGATGATCTTCTTCTGCCTTTCTAGACCCCAATGGAGCATAGGCCCTCAACCAACTCACATGCGCTCCAATGCAAATACATTCTAGTTATGCTGTTCTCCAGTTTTCTCAATGTGTGTCCTATCCAACGCCAGCGTCATTTCCTCATCTCTTGGTTAACTGGAGCTTGCTTAGTTCTCTCCCAAAACGCTACATTAGTTATTCTATCACACCACTTAATTCCCTCTATTCTGTGCAGGCACCAGTTAATGAATGTCTGAAACTTATTAATAATTGCCTTAGTTGTTCTCCATGTTTCTGCCACAGACAAAAGTATGCTTTATGAAGACAGACACTTCATATACCAGGAACAGGACTGCTTCAAGAAAAACACTGCTCAACCCACCTTCTGATGTAGATCAGCATTCTCTTTCTCCAGTGACTGGACCTCCTGCTCCAGCTCCTGGACACGACGTATGTTCTCCTGCAGCTGATGGCAGGATCGCTGCAGCTGGCGGTTGTCAAACTCCAATTTGTTGAGCTGTGAATTCTTGGTTGTCACTGTCTCCACCAGGCGCCTGTTTTCTTTCTCCAAGTCTTTGACCTGGGCAAGAATTACATCTATTGTCTTCATCATGGAAATATAATTGTGTTAGAACTGTATAAAACTCCACTAAGACCGGTCCCAAGCCTGGATGAAAAAGGAGGAGGGTCTGGCTGAATCTGAGTGCTTCATGCACTTTTACCTCCTAGAGCAGGTAAAAATGTCATCAGATGTCTTCATCATGAAAACATAATAGTGTTAGAACTGTATGATACTCCACTAAGACCGGTCCCAAGCCTGGCTGAAAAAAGGAGGAGGGTCTGGCTGTCGCTGAGTGCTTCATATGCGTCTCCAGAAGTAGTGGGTAACCGTGAATCAGCCAGATGGCATGTAAAGAGGCTGCTAGGAGGCAGCCCCTCACCCAGGCACAACAAGCCAATTACTTTTTGTCTAGTACTTGTTCATCTACTGTTTTCATCATTAAAATATAATTGTTTTAGAACTGTATAAAAGAGTGCAAGGAAATCTTGTGCTGAGCCTCTACTGATGCACGACAGTGAACCTTGGAATTTGAAATAATAATCAATTAAACAATCAAGCTATGCAAATAAAATTCTCAAATATTCAAATTTGTGCAATGAGCTGAGTATCTCCTAGTGCTGTCTTCTCATCCTCCTGCATTCGTCTTTAACTCTTTCCATACCAAACAACTCATCATGCCCATCTTGGTCACTTCAAAGAAAACAAAATATTCTATGTGTTCACTAGCTATCAACTCCCAGTGGAAGGTTCTGTTTGTTCATCAATTTCTGGACTTTGGTTCTAGAACTTTAGATCTGCATGCACATCAGTTTTACAGATCTGATTTTACTGTGCACAGACTGTTGGTTCCTCATTTCTCAGGCAAATGCAACCTGACTTTAATAGAAATCCCAAATTAGTCTACCCCTACGATATGCTTGTTAGGAGGGCAGTGAGCCCATTCTTGTGTTTCCCCACAATGGGGTCCTGGAACCCACACACATGGAATCACAGATATAAATGTTATATTAACATCTTATATCTGAAGTATTAGTTTAACTTCTTATGTCTCATAGCGTCTGTTCAACTCCTTCAGACTTAATTAGGAATGTACTACTTTTGAAGCTCAGCTCTTTGGGATAAGTGGAATGAACAAGAGTTAAAAAGGCTCGTCACACCTTTGTGTCATGATTTACAGTTAGGCTGCAAAATCTGCACCTTTTGGCTAAGCCTACTCATTTTCAGTAAATGCCTAATTAGTCCTCTTTTAAGACATGCTCATTAGAAGAAGAAGATGAAGAAGAGGAAGAAGAAGAAGATGAAGAAGAGGAAGAAAAAGAAGATGAAGAAGAGAAAGAAAAAGAAGAAAAAGAAGAAGAAGAAGATGATGAAGAAGAGGAAGAAAAAGAAGAAGAAGAAGATGAAGAAGAGGAAGAAAAAGAAAAAGAAGAAGAAGATGAAGAAAAAGAAAAAGAAGAAGAAGAAGAAGAAGAAGAAGAAGAAGAAGAAGATGAAGAAGAGGAAGAAAAGGAAAAAGAAAAAGAAGAAGAAGAAGAAGAAGAAGAAGAAGGAACAAACAAACTTTATTTTCAAGGGGTCACAAATTGGGCACGCAGGCCCGCCTTACACTTTGCCGTTCCAAACATCCGTCTTTCACAGAGCAGTTGTATTTTATCATTAAAGCATGTTAAATTCAAATAATAAGATGAATACTGTGAATATCAAGAAAAAACACAAAAGCATGGGTGGCAAAAATACATGCACACTCTAGTGTGGGCGCGCGCACACACACACATATACCCACATACATTAGAAGAAGAAGAAGCAGCAGCAGCAGCAGGATGAGGAGAAGAAGAAGAAAACAACAAACAACACAAGAAAGTCCTATGCTCATAGACTAACACAAAAACATACTTTCAGATCACTTGTTTTCTCAATCCTCTCTCTAATCTGGTGTAAAGCTTGAGACAACTGTTCATTCTCTTTCTCCAGTGCTTCAACTTGCTGCTCCGACTTCTCCCGCAGAGTCTCCACAGTTTGCTTCAGTCGGTCCTTCTCCTCCCTGGCTGCAGACAGCTCACTCTCCAACTGAACCAGCTGGCCAGACGCTTCACATGAACCGGATTGTAGCTTTCTCCACCTGGTGTGTAATGGAAGATTCAGAATGCTAAGCATGGGCTAGGGACAAGAAGCCACAATAACAGCACAACAAACCATTGAAGTCAGATACTTGGCACACAAAAACACCAGGCCATAATAAAAACTGACTGCCATCTTCAGCAAGGCTGAACATGGGTAATTTTTTCCCACCAATAACAAACAATGGAGCATACAGAGCTGGTCCGAGGAGGGGAAGGGAAGGGAAATGAACAAACCAATGAACTTTCTTAATTATTTTTTTAAAAATCACGAATAAGAAGAAAGAGGGTGGAGGAAGAGAGAAAGAGGGTGGAGGAAGGGAGAACGAGGGTGGAGAAAAGGAGAAAAGTGGAGGAAGGGAAAAGATGGGGAAGAAGGGAGAAAGAGAGTGGAGGGAATAAGTAAGGGGAAGGCAGAGAGAGGTGGTGGAGGATGGGAGAGAATATTAACAAAGTGGGAGAAAAGACACACAAGCTGAGAGAGAAAGAGAGAGTGAGAGAGAGAAAGAGAGAGAGAGAGAGAGAGAGAGGTATGGGGGGAGAGAAAGAGGGAGGGAGGGAGAGAGAGAGTGTGTGTGTGTGTGTACAGAATCAAGTGATTATATAAAATGATATTACCAAAACAATGATAAATCATATTTTAAGGTTTCATGATTGCATAGAAGTTGGTTGACTAGCTAACGAACGAATGAACGAACAAACTTTTTTTCGAAGGGTTACAAACTGGGCACGCAGGCCCGTCTGACATTTGGCCCTTCTAAGCACTCATTTTTCAGAGTACCAATGCCTATTATCAATAATGCATGTTATGGATATAACAAAGAAATATGCATTATTTAATAGTGCATACACACATCAATGTGTTCACAATCTTACACACGCGTATATATACCCTTACATTCTCATACAGACATACCTAATACATACATACACGCATCAACATACATACACAAACAGAAAACACACACCCATACATAGACATAAATGCACAAACAGAAAACAAACACACATACATGCACACACACACACATTCATTCCATACATACACACCTACACATGCAAGCATGCATACACACACATACAATCACATGTACAGACACCCACAGCTTAACCAACCACACTGAGGACCATGAACTGATTCCCACAATTCTGTATTTAATCAAGATAAACATCAGAAATGACAGTGATTTTCAATGCTGTCATCAGAGATGGGGGCATCCCAGATAAATGACACTCCCTCAAGATTGACATCAGATTTACACTAGAGCAGATCATTATTCTAATCCTTAGAACAGGGCTACCTACTCCCTGAGTATGAAAGTACACGAGGCGGGAGAGCTGGTGAGAGACCGAGTTTCTTTCAGGCAGACCTTGATGAGAGCGACGTTCTGCAAAGGACCTGCTACATAATGATGGGAACAGGGCACAATCAACTTTGCAGCCATGTGTACACAAATTTTAAAACTGGCAAATCAGCCAATGTGCACATGTGGACTGACACCTGAGACAACAGATCACAGCCTCCAAGACTATTCCAAATACAACAGATCAAGGCACATTGTGTACTACCAGTTTTCAAGCAAGTTCTCACATCATCATCAGGTGCCTTGCAGACTGGCGTGAGTGATCATGCCTCTCCACAATCTGGGATCTCCTGCAGCATGTATCAGTTTGTGTGCTGAAACACCTCCATGCCATGCAACAAGACTGTCAAGAATCTTCTCTCGTTGTCTTCCTCTATCCCTCCTTCCACAGATCTTTCCAGTAGTCACAACATGTTCCATTTTCCCTCTTCCCATAACATGGCCGAAATATGATGCCTCCTTCTGATGTCTGGTGAATTGTCTTCGGGCTCCCATATTCAGCCACATTACTTTTCAGATATACTTTAAAAAACAAATAAAAAATATACAAGATTTCTACACAGAAGAGTATCCCACCTTTTTGGCCAGGCGCTGGTTTTCTTTCTCAAGCTCCAAGCTAACCTCGGCGCTCTGAATCAATGCTGTCTCTTTCATTTCTGCCAGTCTGGCTGCAAGTCTCTGGTTTTCCAGTTCCAGTCTAAGAATTCTGGTATGTGATGTTTCTGAAAGCTGTTCGCTCAAGGATGAGCCCACATCTGCAAAATTCAAAGTCAGTGAATAGTATTTTGTTAATATATATATATATAAATATATATATATATATATATATATATTATATATATATATATATATATATATATATATATATATATATATATATATATATATATATATATATATATATATATATATGTCACAACCCTATAAGTACAGTCAGTGTACCACACCATAAGGTGTGCGTGTTTAGGTGACACCCCAGGGTTGAGACAAAGGTCAGGGCCGTGACTGGTCAAGTCTGTTCTGTTATTGCACGGTGAAACCAGCTCTCAGGGTAAAGCGTTTGGCCACGGCAAGAAAGAGTTGTTGGAGACAAGTCGACAGCACGATGACCGCGGATGGGACTGAGCTGGACCAGGGTCAAGGGACACGAGGTGGAGAGAACACAGGACATTCGGTGTGCGAGGGTCAGAGAGGAAGCAGACGTTTAGCAAGACAGTGATAGTGTATTAGAGTTAGGATATTTCTGTTAGTGACTGCATAGTTTATGTACAGTGTTCTGTTAGAATAGGATAGTTCTTGTGTAGGGTATTTATACATGTACTGTGAGAGAATGTCTAACCTTGGCACTCTGACCCTGTACTAGACAGAGGCTGTGACAGTTTGGTTGGTCAGTGTGTCAATAGTTAAGAGCGTATCTTGTGACCGTGTGGTTTGTACACCAGAAGATTGCTTGTGGGGCATACTGGGAGCGAGGCGACTGTAAAGCTCGTTCGGCCAGAGGGTCCAAGCAATAGGTGGCCACACAGCGGGAAGTCAACTGTCTATTGTATCACCTGTACTTACAATAAAGATTGTCGTGTGTGCTCTGTGTGCGTTCGGGTTCAGTGTGTGTTAAAGGTTAGTCTGTCTGTCATTGGCCCAGTTACGAGCCACGGACCAGCAAGGTCACCCAGAGGTCGGTGACAGATAATGGGGCCGTTTGTCCTTGGGAATTGAATCTATAGTAGTAGCTAAATAGGAATAGTTGTCCGCGTTAATTGTGAACCCAATGTGCTTGTCTAAATAGGAGACATAGATTAGTTTGTATGTTTAGCTGACTGATTAATTTTTCTTTAAGTTTTGTCGTTCACTATTGTAGGGCTAGCGTGATTGAGTTAATCCCTTAATTTTGATGTTGCTACCGAGTAAGTTTGTGATGGCGTTGCTGAGTTAATTCTCTTAAATATTACATCGTTGTCCGGGCCTACTCTTAATTATTGATAGCGACATCAGGATTGGCTTGGGTCACCCTTAGCGCTATAAAGTGATAGTTTGTTACCGTTTTCGTATTTGTTCCGACTGATTGTAATTAATAATGACTAAGTGTGATAGGGCTGCGTTTGCGTCGTGACAAGTTAGTGACGTATAGGAGAAATAGTTTGACGGACAGTAAAAAAAGTGTGAGGAAGGTTGTGTGCTGTTGAGTGGTTGCTGCTGACACCGATCAACCGAGGCCTGTTGTTCTCGGTCATCATCATCATCCTCATCATCCTTTCTGTGGAAGGCCAAGAATCAAGGACTGGAGAGAATATAAGTTTGTTTTGCTTTTGGTGTATTGTTGTGGTCTGTTCTCCAGCCCTCGAGCAGTTGTATTTCAGCCCCTGGCACCGTTCATTGTCCTTCTCATTTCTCGTCTGTCCTATTCATCATTTACGTTATTTTCGTTCATTTGTATAATAATTTTTTGTGCGCACACATCATCGACCCTCATTCAGAAATTGTAACGATTATGTTTCGGTGACCCATCCCTTTTCTGTATCGAACATTCCAAATTGTTCCATAAATATTATTATTGTTATATTGAATTTATTACGTTGCTATATTATTAGCATTGTTTTCACTGATTTCCGGGCTTGCCACTTGTAATTTTTTGTATTTTTGTTCGTGGCAGCTACGGTATTCAGGTGATTTGTTGAGCGGTTTATTATTATTTTGAACGAAAGATCATTGTTGTTGTAACTAAGATGTCGAGTCTATCTGAGTTCATCGAGATGGCAAAACAGCATGGGCTGACTGGCGAGAAGGCGCTAGAATGGGCAGACTTTTTGTCCTACAATCAGACAACCAGCCATTGCTCGTCATTAAGTCTGGTGCCCCAAAGAACAATCGAATCGCCAGATGGGCACTGCTACTACAAGATTTTCATTTCACAATCACATACGTCAAGGGCAACAGCAACAACCTGGCTGACCTATTAAGCCGGCTGTAAAACTATTGATTGCCTAGTTGTACCCGGAAACTGACAGTCTGGTAACTCCAGAAATTTACAGACTATGTGAAAAGACATTGTCTTCATGTATTCATACCTTCTTGAAAATGCAGATGAATATGAATTGTTCCATAACTGAATTCTACAACAACTTTCATAGATCCAGTTGAACAATAGTAAATGTCAAGTAGCAGTGTGTACAAGTGCTGTTCTAGCCTAAAACCAGTGAAGTGAACAATCGTAAAAGATTACTCTACAGGAACATAGAGGTGATGATCATTCTAAGGACTTCAGCAGAAAGGAAAATGTGAAGTATGAAAGAAGAGTGTAAATGGAATAAAAGGGAATGAATGTATAAAATAGAAGTCTATGTTGTGATTGTCATATTATAAGTTAATCTTATTATGTTCATCTTTAATATAATATGTATTGTATGGATTATATATGTTTTATTCGTTCTGTATGTGCTTTATGTTTTATATGTTTATGTTACATGTATATTATTTGGTTTGGAATTGATAAGTTTATTCATTCCATTTCATTCGCACAATTTTATTTATGTATTTTGCTTATTTATTTTTATTTGTAACTATTGTGTTGGTATTTATGAAGCGTAATTTATTGGTGTATTTTGCTTATTTATTTTGATTTGTACCTATTGTGTTGGTATTTATGATGAGTAATTTATTTGTGTATTTTTCTTATTTATTTTGATTTGTAACTATTGAGATGGTATTTATAAAAGGGAAAAAATTATGAGTTTGAAAATTATTTCATGTATATTTTGCTTATTTATTTCGATTTGTAATTGTTTTGTTTGAATGAATATAGTGTAATGATTTTTGTTTGTGAAAATGTATATGTATTTTACTTATTTATTTTCAGTGTAAAATTATTTGTGTGACAATCCATTTTGATTTTACAAATATATATACATTTTTTCTTTTCTTTGCTAAAAATTTTTGTTAGATTACATAAGTAATGTTAATTGTTTGATTTGCAATTATTTTTGTTTCAGTATTCTCAAATTGCAATAATAATATTCTTCAGTTTTTGAAACTTAATCTGAAATCCATCACTTCTACAAAAAGTTTCAATGAGTTTAATATTAACTGAGTGCCTTATGTGCAGGAAATGTAAATGTAAAGTATATGTTAGACAATAATGCATTATGAGTAGATAGTTTTGTAAACTAGTAGACTTTAAAATAACGGACAATTTAGTTTAGCAGTGACAACGAAATTTTCTTTAAATTTTCTTATTTTTTTCTTCTTTTAATTGTTTATTTTGCTTTCCAAAATTGATAATTGATAGTTGGAATGAAAATTAAAATTGTACTTTTACAAGGGCACTCACATGAAGAGTTAATGATGTTGTAACTAATATTGCATATATGGAGACTACATTTGAGGAGTAGCACTATCCTTGGAGGATGGGAGTGTGTCCAACTGGCCACAGATTTGTTTTCTGTCTATTTTGCACTGTGGGTCATATGGGGTGATTTGTGTCTTGGCAGGTACTGCGGATTCACGGACACATTATACGACTGTAGGTCGGGGAGTCAGGTCATGATTCCTTTTCACAACCATGGACAAGTCTTGTGGAGATAGTCCATGACGCCTACTGTTATTAATCACGGTGTCGTTGGTTAAACGGCTTGGGAGTGTATACAGTGGCATCTTACTTGCACAGTAAGTGAAGTAAGGTGTAATTGGGTCCCGGACGATTTGAGTGTCCACCCAAATTATTATTTATATCATTACCCATATGATTTGAAGGTGTAATGAGTAGTGACGTATTTGTGTCAAGGGCTGATACCATTTCTACCCATTAGGGAGGGGCTTACCCATTGAATGTATATACCCATTAAATATGTGCCAGATAGTTTGCCCTTAGGTGATTGACCCAAAAGTACATGACTTATTTTTTTTTCAGGTAACTAAATGTTGACGAGAGAATTTAAAAAGATGACTGTACATGATGGCAGGCCATGCTTTGCTGATACTTGACTTTGTCAGGAAGTATCAGTTCAGAGGAAGAGTGAATGTCACAACCCTATAAGTATAGTCAGTGTACCACACCATAAGGTGCGCGTGTTGAGGTGACACCCCAGGGTTGACACAAAGGTGAGGGCCGTGACTGGTCAAGTCTGTTCTGTTATTGCACGGTGAAACCAGCTCTCAGGATAAAGCGTTTGGCCACGGCAAGAAAGAGTGAAAGTTGTTGGAGACAAGTCGACAGCATGATGACCGCGGTTGGGACTGAGCTGGACCGGGGTCAAGGGACATGAGGTGGAGAGAACACAGGACATTCGGTGTGCGACGGTCAGAGAGGAAGCAGACGTTTAGCAAGACAGTGATAGTGTATTAGAGTTAGGATATTTCTGTTAGTGACTGCATAGTTTATGTACAGTGTTCTATTAGAGTTAGGATATTTCTGTTAGTGACTGCCTAGTTTATGTACAGTGTTCTGTTAGAATAGGATAGTTCTTGTGTAGGGTATTTATACATGTACTGTGAGAGAATGTCTAACCTTGGCACTCTGACCCTGTACTAGACAGAGGCTGTGACAGTTTGGTTGGTCAGTGTGTCAATAGTTAAGAGCGTATCTCGTGACCGTGTGGTTTGTACATCAGAAATTTGCTTGTGGGACGTACTGGGAGCGAGGCGACTGTAAAGCTCGTTCGGCCAGAGGGTCCAAGCAATAGGTGGCCACACAGCGGGAAGTCAACTGTCTATTGTATTACCTGTACTTACAATAAAGATTGTCGTGTGTGCTCTGTGTGCGTTCGGGTTCAGTGTGTGTTAAAGGTTAGTCTGTCTGTCATTGGCCCAGTTACGAGCCACGGACCAGCAAGGTCACCCAGAGGTCTGTGACATATATATATATATATATATATATATATATATATATATATATATATATATATATATATATATATATATATATATATATATTTATATATATATATATATATATATATATATATATATATATATATATATATATATATATTATATATATATATATATATATATATATATATATAAATATAAAAGTTACCTGCTTCCAGTGGAAATAACTTTCATTTATTTGTTTAGAATTCTGTGACAGGGAAATTCTACGGAACCAGAGATAATTTTATAACATTAACCTTTGAACCCGTAAATGAAAGACAAATGGATCATAAACCTGTGAGGATTCCCAAACAAATATGTTAAAAAAAAAAAGTTTTTACAAGTCACTAATAAATTTTCCCAAAACTGATTTTTCTACGCGAGTGGAAGACCTCGGAAAATATGGAGTGATGGCATTAAGAACAGCCTTACAGTGATGTACATTAGTCTTAATAGGGCTCTTGACAGAGTTCTTGAACAAATGTTGCATCTCCCCCCGACACTTCGCAGAGGTACAAGGTGGAAGAGAAGAAGAAGATTTATCTACATTTAAAAGTGTTGCTGTTGGTTGTTTGAAATATATCATGATAAATAAAAGGAGAAATCATTAAACATGAACAGAGTGAAGCATTAAATGGAAAATTTTCCCCTAAAGCAAATATGTACCTGCTGTCTCATGCTGTAACTCTGTGACATCCAACACTGAGGCTCAAAGGAACATGTATATGCAAATCGAGCTTCAAAAAAAGCTACTGGATTTACAAGGACCCCCCCCCCCCCCCCCCCCCCCCCCCCCAATTCTACTTTTAGTTAACTTATTCACATCCAGGTCTCCTTAACACTAAGCCGGCATGCATAGAACCAGTGGTATTTAACTCTTTCAGTCCCAGGAAGTTTAGCATCAGAGACCCAAGGGGTGGTCAAGAGAAAAGTCTAATAGGTACATTTTGCATTCATTGGGCTTCTAAACAGGAACCTATGAGTGTACAATGTGTTCCTTGGGACTGAAAGAGTTAACTATGCTTTTCGAGAACAGGTCACTGCAGACAAGCCCCTCCATGCTAGCTTCTTGAGTAGCAATAATAATTCTTTTTGAAAAACAGGAAAAACTCACTGTTCATTCTCGACATGGCCACCGATAACTCAGTTTCCAAACTGGAGCTCTCGTTAAGGCTTGACTTCTTCTCAAACTCCAGCCGGGCATTTTCTTCTGTTAAGTATTCAATTTTCTTTCTGTCAGACTCTCGCTCCTGTTGGTTTCCAAACAAAGAAACAACAACAAAAATGATGTACAAAGCAAGGTAAAATTGCTGGCAACTAAAAATGCAAAGATAACATAAACAAACTGTAGGTTGGTTGGTGAATTCATGAAAAGACTAAGCTTTAAGCCCATGCACTGTTTTTTTTTTTCATCTTCTCTCCTTCTTCTCCGGTGGAAATTTCTGGTTGTTTGTCAACCTCTGGACTTTAGTCTTGTTCTAGAACCTAAGTGTTGCGAGCACATCCATTTAACAGATCTGACTTAACTGCATACAGATTGTTGGTTCCTTGCCTCTCAGGCAGATGCACTCTGACTCTAAAGAAATCCCCCAATTAGTCAACTCTTATGACATGCTTTTGGGAAGGTAGTGGATCTATTCTTGTTTTCCCCCACAATGAGGTTCCTGCTGGACCCACACGGGGACACTAGTGTTCAGGCCACTTAAGTTCCTCATATAAACTACAGGCCCCATTTTGAAAAGAATAAACTCCCCATCTCCTAACAAGTAAAAAACCTTTTTAATGCCAGCAGCATATCTGGCATTTGAGGGTGACTCATATTTGCAGACAACCTGCACTGGATGGCCTTTACTTCCCGAGACTTTACCAGGTACCTATTTTAGGCTGAGTTGACCTGGGAGCCGACGTTATGTATGAAAAATCAGACTTTATGTGGATTTAAATACTTAAGCATAGACATACTAAAATACCATTAAACAAAGAATACACAGATGATCAGGATACCCACGTACTTGAGACACATACTAAATACCATTAACTCTTTCAGGCCCATGAATTTTGACAGACTTGGCCCACATTAATTTCCCTTTACAAAAATAGCAGAGGGGTGGGTGTACAAGAAAGGCTGTAGAGATTGTAACATACTTCTAATCCCTATAAAAGTATATATTTTTTAAAAGAGAAATGAATGTACTTTTTGAATCTGATGATAAGTGTTTGTTTAATTTTGTTATAGTTAGTGGGAAAGAAGAATTCAGCAGATGTTAATTTCACAAGGACAACATTTCACAAAAAAATTCTTCACTTACCATGGTTTTGCAGCCACAAGAGTAGTAAATATCCAAATTTGAGAACAAAACTTCAAAGTTTGTTCAATTTCCTAACATATTCTAAAGTTATGATAACTTTCTGTGTTAGTTTATCACTCAGGGGCTCTTAGTTCCCACCGAGTGCTAAGCAAAATTTCAGAGAAAAAATGGCAGAAAAATGAGCATTACACACACACTATTTACTATTCACGTTGTACAGTTATTTACAGACTGTAGCTGCGATGATTTCAATGTAGCTTAGCCATAGTATAGCTTTGTTTAGAGCACTTTCCTTCTTTTACACCATAAATACGGTAGTATGGGACATTGTCTGTGTAATAAACTCGTCAGAATCGCTAGATTCCAAACAGCTGATCGCTCAGCTTCACTGGTGAAAATTCACTGTCCGAATGACTTTCTGAAAAATCTAAATTTTAATTATCATTATCACAATTAAAAACATCTTACTGAAACAATTTCAGAGCTTCGGCTGCAGAAAGACGCATTCTGGGACCTGTTCTTGTGGTTAGAACATTGGTATTCAGTGCTCTCAAAAATGAACTTAGAAAATGAACTGTTAAAAAAAATTTGATGTTTTTTTTCTCTCAAATTATACACGTGTGGTTTAGTCCAAGAAATGAAACTAAAAGGATTTCGGCAGAGTGACTTTCCCTGAATAGGTTATTCGTACCTCCAAACATTAAAAACTAGTACGAACGCGCGTGCGAAGCAAAATGTAAGAGATACACAATTGACGATGACACCGTTGTTTGGGCAGAACGGAACTTCTCAAACTACGCTCACACCGTTGTTTGGGCCTTAAAGAGTTAAACAAAGAATACACAATTGACCAGCATAACAGAGTACTTGAGTCATACTAAATACCATTAAACAAAGAATACACTACTGACCAGCATAAAAGAGTACTTGAGACATACTAAATACCATTAAAAAAAGAATACACAGTTGACCAGCATAACAGAGTACTTGAGTCATACTAAATACCATTAAACAAAGAATACACAACTGACCAGCATAACAGAATACTTAAGTCATACTAAATACCATTAAACAAAGAATACACAACTGACCAGCATAACAGAATACTTGAGTCATACTAAATACCATTAAACAAAGAATACACAACTGACCAGCATAACAGAATACTTGAGACATACTAAATACCATTAAACAAAGAATACACAACTGACCAGCATAACAGAATACTTGAGTCATACTAAATACCATTAAACAAAGAATACACAACTGACCAGCATAACAGAGTACTTGAGACATACTAAATACCATTAAACAAAGAATACACAACTGACCAGCATAACAGAATACTTGAGTCATACTAAATACCATTAAACAAAGAATACACAACTGACCAGCATAACAGAGTACTTGAGACATACTAAATACCATTAAACAAAGAATACACAACTGACCAGCAAAACAGAATACTTGAGTCATACTAAATACCATTAAACAAAGAATACACAACTGACCAGCATAAAAGAGTACTTGAGACATACTAAATACCATTAAACAAAGAATACACAACTGACCAGCATAACAGAATACTTGAGTCATACTAAATACCATTAAACAAAGAATACACAACTGACCAGCATAACAGAGTACTTGAGACATACTAAATACCATTAAACAAAGAATACACAACTGACCAGCAAAACAGAATACTTGAGTCATACTAAATACCATTAAACAAAGAATACACAACTGACCAGCATAAAAGAGTACTTGAGACATACTAAATACCATTAAACAAAGAATACACAACTGACCAGCAGAAAAGAGTACTTGAGACATACTAAATACCATGAAACAAAGACAGCTGACCAGGGTATTAAGGTACTTGAACATACAGACATGCTAAACACCATAACAGAAAGAACACACAGTTGACCATATTAACTAACCACAGTCAACTCCTCCATTTGCTGCCTGTATCTCTCTAGCTTGGACTCCAGCTCCACCACGGTCTCAATCCTCTTCCTGCTGCTGGACAACTGGTCCTCCAGCATGGCTTTGGTTTCCTCCAGGATGGAGTTGTCCTCTTTCAGCTCCTGGGAATCAATTGACAGGGAAGATGTCTCACAGATATTGGCAAGTCTACAAACTAGTGTCTGTTTAGTTCTGGTGGGGTTTAGTAAACTATAGAAAAACTGCAATTGCTACCTGTAGTGACCACTTTCTGGTTAATGTAGGTGGGCAGGAGGGAAAGGGGAGGGAGGGGGTTCTTGGATCCTGAGAATTTACAGCCACCTGGATAGTACTAAATGTTGAATTAGGAATTTACATCACAGCACTCAGGACATTCCCATAAGTGCTCAGTCCCCCATCTTCAGCAGCAAGCGAAGAGTTCCAATTCCGATGGTCCAGCTAGTGCTGTCACCAAGAGCTCTGCAGATCAGGATTTTAATTTGAGCCCCTGACAGGAAACAAAATTCACAACCTTACCACGGGTTCAAACCTGCGTTTCAAGAGCCAAGATTTGTAACCATTCGGCCAGCTGCTCCTCGCAGTTAACTCTACACATGCATATGCATTTCCTTAAATGTTCTTAAGATTTTACAGGGGGTATTAGCAAAAGAGAAATTGGCAAGAGGACGAAAATGGCTGTTTACCGCTCTACCTATGTACCAGTCCTGACCTATGGGTGTGAGTCATGGGCAATGACAACAGCTCACAGAAGCCAGCTGCAGGCCTCGGAAATGAGATACCTGAGAAAGGTGGTCCAAGTGACAAGAAGGGACAAAGTCCGCAATCAGACAATACGTCAAGATCTTGATACCCAGCCCTTACTAACCCGAGTAGATCAGTCACAGTTACGATGCTTTGGACATGTATGCAGAATGGGAGAAAATCGGCCACCATGGCAGGCATGGGAGGCTAAGAACCAGGGAACCAGACCTCCGGGACGACCCAGGGTGCGCTGGGAAGACAACATCCGACAGTCCCTAACTGACAGAGGACTGGAATGGAACAAAGCCAGAAAGAAAACTGGCGATCTCTCTGGCAAACCTCTACACCCCAAGGTAGAAGAGGAGCGACTAAGTAAGTAAGTAAGTGAGATTTCACAAGGGAAATGTGGTGCCTGAGAAGAATGCAAAGAATATCATGGAATGATGGAAAAACAAATGGGGCAATCCTGCTTGAGACAGATGAAAGTCTTAAACACATTAGATAAATTGGACAAGATAGACAGACTGTGTGTTTTTGGACCTTTTATGAGAAGGCACGGAGTCCAAAACCTGGAAATGACTAGAAAGATTGACAGAAAGAGAGCAAGGGGAAGGCAAACTCATAAATATCTGGATGGCCTGGCTATATGGATGGGTCAGAGAAGAACACTGACATGAAATATGATTCTGGTGATCATGTGCGGCGGTGAAACCTGACACCCTACGCTTATCACATGGCACATGATGATGCTGATGATAACTGTTGAGTTGTTTCCACAAGGTTCTAGAAGAGTTAACTTAGCAATGGATATTTAACCCATGCATACAGTCATCAGGTTGCAATATAACTGCAGGATGCTCCAGTATAAATTTCATACAGATGAACAGTATATCAGATATTTTTGCCTGTTGAGGGGGCAACTGCAAGGTGCTCTGGGTATCAAACTTACACAGAGGGACCACCCCAGCATTCTTCTTCTTCTTCATGTTCTCCAACTGTAAACTCCGGTGCAAAGTTCTGGTTGTTCATCCACTTCTGCACTTTAGTCACTGAGTATCAAACTTACACTGGGGGACCAACCTAGCATTCTTCTTCTTCTTCTTCATGTTGGCCAAGTGTAAACTCAGGTGCAAAGTTCTGGTTGTTCATCCACTTCTGCACTTGTTCCAGACCTAGAGTTTTACCAATCTGGCCTATCAGTGTGTAGACTGTTGGTTAATCGTCTCTCAAGCAGAAGACTCTTATGACATGCTTGTTAGGGAGGCAGTGATGTGATAACTTCAACTGAACTCCCCCCCCCCCCCCCACAGTTGTCAATTTTGAATACCTGCTTTAAAGTAACTTTTAATGTCATTACAGTTTGGGGGAAACAAAGCAATCAACCCTCATTCAAATAAATTATCACTCAGAGAAAAAAAGCGGCGTCTGTGGCTTAGGCGTTGCGAGTCCGACTCGTAATTCCAACGTACCGTGATCGAAAGCCACTGCTGGCTGTGCAGATTTTTATCATGGTATGGGCCGTCGCAGGTCGACACAGCCTTAAATGGGTACCAGGATGGGCTGTCCTGGGAAAGTAAAGACAGCCAGCGTAATGCTGACCACATTACCCACCTAGTGCCGATTGGTCTGTAAAAAATATGGGTTGCTCTTCCCATATGCCTGATGAGACCAAGGCGTGAAAAGGGATCTTTACTTTTTTTTTCCTGACTAAAAAATCTGACAGAAAAATCTCATATCCTTAAAGAGTTAAAGATGACATACTTCTGTTCTGGCTTTATAGAACTCCAGCTCATTCAGCTTCTCCTTGTACTTCAGAACTTCTTTCTCATACACATCCACTTTCATAGCCTACAATTTCAAAATCATCAAATCTGAATGTGAAAAGTTCATCAGAAACACAAAAAACTACACTAAATCTAGCAAACTTTTTTCAGTAAACTGTTATCAGTGAACTTTCTTCCGTAAACTTCATCTGTGTTCACACTTAAAAGGATGGCTGGCACATAATGTGGTTTACAGCTAGGCTGTGATATCTGTGTCTTTCAACTCAAAACATCAGTGGGTCTACTCTTTATTCCCCGAAAATGGGGAATCAGAACCATCACAGGGATTTTAGAGTGAACAGTTACTTTCACCCAGAGATTCTGGTCCTTTGTCTCAGTGCTATTCTTCTATACAATATCTGGCCCCTGTAAGTGAATACACTTTTGATTATATTATCCTTATTTCCAGCACTAGGACCCACACTAGCAAAGGTTCGTTGCCACCTGTTCCAGGTCTTGGATATTCATTAGGCCCATGGTTGAGCCTTCCCTGATGATGGTACTAAACAGGATCTCTCTTGGTCTTCCCATTTTCTTACCCCTTCCGGTGTCCATAAGAGGACTTGACAGGGGAGTCTGGTCTTATCCATTCTGAGTGCATGGCCGATGAAGTTCCAGTGGCGCTTTCTTATAAAACTGGATACATTATCTTGCTTGGTCTTGTCTTAGTTGTGAAGGCCTTGGATACGAAATCTGAACCAAGATTGATTTGTTAAACATGACCCTTGGCTCCCAGTTTGACCTGGTCTAAAACGGGTACCAGCTACCAGATAAATCCTGGAAAGTAAGGGTGGCTGGCAGGAAATTAACCTAATTTTTTTCCATCAAGTGCCGATCAGTCAAAACTAATATGAGGTTAGTATGATATGAAAGGGTCCTTTACCTATCATGTCCAGCACTAGGCAGATGGTTGTGAGTCATTAGGGGACTAAGTTCTGGGTATTCTAGGTGTTCAAAAACTTCTGGACATTAGTCTTGTTTCTGAACCTCTGTGTTGCATCCACATCTGTTTCACAAATCTGGCTTATCTGTATGCAGACTGTTGGTTTCTTGCCTCTCAGGCTGCAACTGTGAAGGAAACCCCCAATTAATCGACTCCTATTACATGCTTGTTGGGAAGGCAGTGGGTCTATTCTTGGGAAGGCAGTGGGTCTATTCTTGTTTTCCCCACAATGAGACACCGGAACCCACAAGGGATGTGCCATATATTATGTCACTTTAGGCTTGCAGTGTATTGCTCCATTCCGTTCTATCCTGTGTCATCACTTCAACACCATGGAAGGAGTCCATTCCAGCACCTTTGGCTTCTCTCAACAACTTTTGCCTTAAGCTTTCTCATGGATGGCCTCATTTCTCAAAGCCTCTATTTCCTGTTTCAGTGCCTGTTTGATGATTCTCTGTTTGCCTCTTCTCAGAATGTGTCCAATATAGCAGCATATTTTCTATTGTATAACTGGTGACACTGGTAGTTGCCCAAACACAACAGAAGAAAAAAAGGAAAACAGAGAGAGAAGGACAAGAGAGTGACAGAGATGGATAAGTGAGAACAAGGATGACCACACTGTAAAAGGGAGAGACCTAGAGAGGAGGGATATGCAAAGATGTGGGGCGGGGGACAGGGAATGAGACAGAAAAATGACAAAGCAGTGAGGAGAGAGAGGGGGAGAGACAGACAGAGAGAGACAGACAGAGAGACAAATAAAGAAAGAGAGAGTCAGAGACAGACAGACAGACACATACCTTTTCTTTTAAGATGTCAAGTTCATCCCGCAGCGATCTGGTCACCCTGGCTTCTTGTACCAAGGATGCGTTCTGTAGACAATGTAGCAATGTTATACAGGGTATATGTATAAGGACTAGACTTTTTTAAATCAACTATTTGCACACCATAATTATGGGGGCTGTGTGGACTTGAGGCATTGTGTCCGCCTCGAGTGCAAGAGGTGCCGGGTTCAATTCCTGGTAAGAGCTAGGATGTTTTCACGTGGACTTGGACTTCTAGTAATTCCCCCTGGTCTCTGGGTAGTGAGATCGGACACCTGTGTGCATTGTTGCGCACATAAAAAATCCCTTGGCAGTTAGAAATTGAAAAGAGTATCCTAACAGTGCTGCCTGGGCAAAATTTCTACTTAAAAATTTACCAAAAGTATTACAAGATCTTCGCCGATGCTACAGAGCTTGTGCACTGTGCTGAGCTTCTTCAGACTCAGGCTTGAGTTAGAAGAAGAAGGGAGCACTTATGGGTTGTGCCATGATGTTGGTCCGTTGTTCAAACCTCAAACACCATAATTAAATTTATGTTATTACATCATGTTTCAAGAGCCATGTAACCATTTGTTTAGAATATCACTGCTATATAAGGGTGTTTTAGTAACTGATCTTAGCTCTAAAGGGGATAACTATAACAGAGAGCATTCTGTGATTGAGCATGTCTTCCTTAATGCTGGCAGATATTCAGATGCGGTTGTTTTACCATTTATGATGTCAATTCTTGATACTCAAGTGCCTCACCTAAATACTTTTAGCAATTTAGGCAGTAGAATCGATTGTGAATGCAGCCGTAATGTGGAAAATAGTACCCAAAATAAGACACATTATATTAGTATAGGTGGTTAAATGTTGAATTAAGAATTGACATCACAGCACTCTGGACACTCCCATAAGTGCGCAGTCCCCATCTTCAGCAGCAAGCAAAGAGTTCCAATTCCGATGGCACCAGTAACCATCCGATTGTATATCCCTCTCATCCTCTGAGTGTTGAGCATCGGCCAGATCCTCTGGTAACTCCTCGTAACGCCTTTCTCCCTAGACGGTTATGATCTATCTGTGCCTCAGCACTGTTTACTTGCTTCCAAAGGGCCCTCACAATATCTAACTTGTCCTATATCAATTCATCACCTAGTGGTACAGAGCGAGCCAGTCTATTTGCCTGCTCATTTCCCAACACATCGGCATGACCTGGAGAAAATATCCAAAGGATGCTAACTACCCAGGACCTCTGAAGGGATGCTTGCCACTCTGCAAGGAACATACCTGTCTCCACCTTTCTCAACATGTTCTGTGAGTTAGTTACAATCACGGCATGTGTGTACAGCTGATTCTCAAGTCAGCAGAAGACAGCAGAGACTGTATATGTAGCATTAACTTGATGGTGATTACAAAAATAGGAACAGCAATATTTTCCAAAAAATAATCATTAAAAGTACACCTTGTTTAACATAAGCCTGGAACTAAACATAGACAGTATTTCCTCTTCAAACACAGGGTGTTTATCCTAATTCTTCGTAATGTTCACCGGCTGTAAACAAAGTTCTGGTTGTTCGTTTACTTCTGGACTTAAGTCTTGTTCTAGACTGTTTTGCATGAACACCTATTTTACAGATCTGGCTTTGTATGTTATTCCTGCTGGTTCCTCCCCTCTCATACAGTTGCAATCTGACTTTGAACGAAACCCCAATTAGTCTACTCTTAGGACATGCTTGTTAGGTAGCAATGGGTCTATTTTTTTCTCTCCCAGAATGGGGCTCTGGAACCCACACACAGATATCCCAGGGTGTGGATGTACATAATAACGCTGGCACCTTTCCCGTCTTCTTAAACGAAGGGGTAATATTTTGTTATAAAATAATAACAGCGTGCAGTCTCCACAGTGAAGGTTGGCAACAGTGCACTAACTGATGTCTTTGGGAATATAACATGGTTAGGCCCGATTTCTTCCATGATGCTACATTCAAACCAATGCCCCAAAACCATGAGAAAGCTAGGTAAATGGGTGGGTCCCTCCCCTCCCCACTGGACCTGGAACCCATACAAGGATTAGATGTACTAACATTATCATCAAGTGCCTTGAGGCAGATATTTGCACCTTTAAAAACAGACCTTGGCTTTTGAGGTGACCTCAGCCTAAAATGGACGCCAGGTAATGCCCGGAGAAGTAAAAGCGGCCAGCACGATGTTGACAACATCCCCCATCAAGTCCCCTTTGGTTAATAAAAAATATAGTTCCAGCACCACATGTCTGACAAGCCACTGGTGGTAAAAGCATTGTTTACTTTTTGTTTTTAGTCATGCCAAAAGAAATGTTTAAATAATCACAAACTAGAGAATTAAAACCAACAAATCGGTGACTTCAATGGAAATAATAAAATAACCACACACACAAAAAAAGAATAAAATCAATGGCCATAAAAGCAAATGTTTTTTCCCGAAAAACAACAGGAGCTAAACAAGAACAACAATGACAACATCAAACCTTGTCAACCGATGTCTGAGGAGAATATGATTATACCTGAAATGGTTGATGAAGTAGGCAATAAGGAATGAGAGTAAGTGGTGAAACTGGACAGAGAATGAGGAAACAGGCAATAAGGAATGAGAGTAAGTGGTGAAACTGGACAGAGAACAAGGAAACTTAAGTCCACACAATTTGAGGTACAGCTTTCATTGATGTGATTAGTTGTTGTGGTTATTTACCATCACATCTCTTTTACTAACTCAAATGTTTGTGGTTATTTACCATCACATCTCTTTTACTCACTCAATGTTTGTGATTATTTACCGTCACATCTCTTTTACTAACTCAATGTTTGTGGTTATTTACCATCACATCTCTTTTACTCACTCAATGTTTGTGATTATTTACTGTCACATCTCTTTTACTCACTCAATGTTTGTGGTTATTTACCGTCACATCTCTTTTACTCACTCAATGTTTGTGGTTATTGACCATCACATCTCTTTTACTCACTCAATGTTTGTGGTTATTTACCGTCACATCTCTTTTACTCACTCAATGTTTGTGGTTATTTACCATCACATCTCTTTTACTCACTCAATGTATGTGATTATTTACCATCACATCTCTTTTACTCACTCAATGTTTGTGGTTATTTACCATCACATCTCTTTTACTCACTCAATGTATGTGATTATTTACCGTCACATCTCTTTTACTCACTCAATGTTTGTGGTTATTTCCTGTCACATCTCTTTTACTCACTGAATGGTATCAGTGAGACAACAAAA